TTCTCTCATATCTCTCTCTCTCCTCCTATATATGTATATATATATATATATATATAGGTATCTGTTCATCCTTACTTGAAATCTTAATTCGCCTACAGGGGGAGTTGCGTACGGTATGTCTTGAAATGCGTAATAAACATTGTCGTTTGGAGACTGCAAGGCTTGACCTCTTATTTGGCCCTCTGGTAAAGTGACAAGTGTCGGGTCAGCTACCTATTTATGAATAAATATGTGATATTCGTGGCACTTATACATAGATGTTAGTAACTACATAAAGACATTTCAAATTTACAAAACTTCGATATATTTAAATAAACCAATAATAATTACTTACATCTGCTACTGATGAGCTTATTGCACATAAAATCAGTAGCAGCAGCCCGTTGTACTTCATCATTTCGAATTAATAGCGATAATGACCATACTTTTCAATTTATAGAATCTGAAACTGGTATTTTTTTATTCGGTAAAAACTCAAGTGTTCGCACGTACGTTTTGTAGTACTCGTAGTTTTATCTTTATCTTTATAATAATTATTTTTTATAAAGAACATACAACAATGGAAAAATTATTATATCAGCACTTTAAATTAAAGTGGTTTTAACTGATTTGCAAGTTAAAACTGAAGCATTTTCTATAAATACCAAAAATAAATTTCCCACTAATCATCAGCAAAATATTGTCACGGTATATGTATTTAAATGAAGGAGCTCAAATGGTACCTTCGAAGTTTTATCTATCTAATATTACAATTATTATTACAATTATAATTAATAATTACAATTACAATTAATATTACAATTATTATTATTGGTAAGCGCATCACTTGAGAACGGCTGGACTGACTTTGCTATTTTTTTGGTAAGTTCGTAATAGTGCGAATAAAGTTTTTAGGGAAAGAGAAATAATTGGAAATGTTGCACGGAAAATTGCAAAATTCGGGAAAAACTGAAAGTGCCGATCACAAACAATTTTATTGAAATTTGGACAGGACAACTTCTGTAGGGTCAGGTAGTTGTATATAATTTTTGTATTTTATTTTATTTGATTGTTGAATATTCGACTTTTTTGTCTATTGTACCCACTTACTTCTCGTAATGGTTATTGTGAGTTTATGTAGACATTGGTATTTGCCTAAAGGTCCCAATAGGTAATTTATCGTGACAGCAGCGATATTACCGTTTATAAAATACTGAGGTGTGATAAGTTGTATTGCTCCACCTAAAAATTGGAATGCACTTGCATGTGATCCACATCTATACTGGATGAGGTTAATAAATATAAATAAGTGTTCCAAATAGAAAACCTCTTGTTTCTTCAATTGAGATCGGAAAGACTATACTAGATCTATTACTATTTAAGGCTTAGCATTGTTTTAAGATTCAAGGTTTCCTATTACACTAATAAACCACTCACAAAATCTATTACGTTTTATCGTTTGCCCAAATTTTTATCTTTAATTACCAGTCTGTTGTTAATATTAACAGATGATGTCATTTTATGGAATGTATTTCTGTACATTTAAAGTAGCCTCATTGTAACCTTTATTACTGATCTGCCATTCAAGTGAAATGTAACCTCTTGAAATATCACGGCTTGCGTCACAAAACATACTTATAATGTTTGCGTTTCGAATTTCGATTGCAGCTACGACATATTTCTGTCACAATCGGTAATATCGGTATAGAGGATAAAATAAAAATCTTGAAATTGGTTGAAAATTCAAATAATATTCCATCATAACCTGGTTATTAAATAGTTAAATAAAGGTTAGCGATATCAAAATATGTTAGCAATAAAATTATAGCGGCCGGTATTACGATCTTCTACTGATTACATCTTAATTATGATTTACTTATTTACTACTGATTACATCTTAATTATGTGTAGCGGCCGGTACCTGACAACCGTAATAGCCGGCCTACTAAGAATTTATAAGGGTTGAAAATACAACGGCACTTCCTAGAAGGCACGTTCACGACCCACGGTTGACAGATATTTAGCAGCCCTAGGTCGACCGTGGGGAGTATTTCAAGTCAGTCTATCGATAATATTCTACAGTGTAAGGTTGAATAATAAAGCGTTAGAAAGTACCTACTTGTTTTCCTTACTCACGCCGTATAAGTGACCCCACAAAATTTTAAATTTCCTAAGATTACTTTGAATACTGCCAACCCAGTGGCAACTTTTTTTATATCGTGAGGAGTAACATAGAAATCTTGTGATAATACATTATTATAAAGATAAACAAATAAAAATTTATAAAAGCTTGTTTATTTAATGACTGAAGAAATATGTAAATCTATTACGAAATTGAAGATGGATCTAGTACGAAGGCAAAAGGTCTGTTGACAACACTGCCGAGTGGCAATAGTAGTGAAGGGACATGTGAAGATATTGTAACAAAAGCCGGGACGCGCAGTCATTTATTTATTAGTTCTCGGAAAGTAAGATATTTCAGTCATCATAAATTATCGGAGGGTTAATGGTTTTCAAGTAGTAGGTCGCCAAGACAGTCCTTCGGAGAAAATTACCAATATTTTAACAAGTTCACTTAGACTGTCGAGGCCATGTGTTAAGCGTCTGGGAGGCGCCGCGTAGAACCCCATCTTTTTAATAACGCGCGAAACCGCGAGAAAGAGCGTAGAGATTCCACATTAGAATTAAATTATATTGTAAAATTGATAGTAATTCGAAAAGAGAGTATACCTAAGCAGCTGGGTTTTTTTGACGGATTTTTCCTAGCTATAAGAGTAGATTAAATGAGATCGACTAATCCGTCCCGTAATTGCTACGCGGAGTCATAGGGGAAGGCTAGGGTTACTAGTAAGTCATATAATTATTGTTATAAATGTAAATTCAGTCAATTAGATAAATATACAAGCGTCCCGATATTCAGGTTCTCGCCAATAAGATGAGAACCGAAACTTCTGGACCCAAGAAATGGGCGTGGTCAAAGCGAATTGTGGAATTCAGGAAGGATCCCGAAAAAGTCAGTTCGTTCTTAAGTTTCACATTGAGCAGACTAATTATTAACTTTAAAGTCTCGGGCTAATTAATTAATTTTGATAGTTTTTCTAAATTTTGTATAGAGCGCGCATTCCCTGAATCTCGGTACGCTGTCGCGATTGAATCAATTAATTAATAATGTCGTCGAGCCGTTGTGTTTTTATTTTGTTTGTTTGTTTTGTTTATTGTTAATAAAACCCTTCCTGGAAGTTTTGTGTTTCCTTTGTTTCTCCAACTTCAGTGCTACCCTGTATAGCCAGCCACTGGATTACATCCCACGTAAGCAATGAAAGGGTAAGTGCTTGGAAGTAATTTTCTGAACATACAACATTTCTAAGTTCCCACGTGTCAATTAAAGTATATCTAATGATAATAAACTCCCTTTCGAGAATTAAATAGTAACTCTTTCGAGAATTAAGTAGTAACTCTTTCGAGAATTAAATAGTAACTCGTTCAAGAATTAAATAGATAATTAGTTAAAGGTAGATAATTAAAGAAATAACCCCTCAGGTTACAATATATTGCTACGCTTGTTTTTTTTTTGCTTAAAAACTTTATTTATACAAAATATATACACATATTAAAAAAATAAAAAAAAAGGTCATAAAAAACGTGGAGATAGTTTGGAAGCGTAACAAAGATGCCGACGAATCACTCAGCCTGAATGATGTAGGTTCAGTAAAACATTTCAAATACAGATGGGTATCAAAATTTAGGTCACCATCAGCAATAAAACGCAACCCTGCTAGGAGGTTCCTAAATTGGTCGGTTTTCCAAACTACGACTTTTTTTTAAAGTAAAGTGATGTTAACCTCAAAAAAATTAAATACCATGTGAAAATCTTCCGATATAGAAAAATTTTTATTACAAGACAGAAATAGATAATGTATCTAAATATGTAAACAGATATTGTTATATTTATAGCTACTTTAAAGATACACAGTTAAATTACTACTAAAGTACTATCTTTAGAATTTCTGGCATGCCAATCGTGATCACGTAAGGCGTACATCGAATATTCTATTCATATAAATATATATCACTTGATTCAAGACATATCTTTTACGCCATAGCGTAAAAAAGAAATATATATACACATATATATCGCCAAACTTATTTGGTAGTGGTGGAAGTACAAATCAACAATTTTATTACTATGAGATAAAAAAAGAAATATATATTTAAACACATTAAAAAAAACTACTATAATGTATATGTTGTACTCAATGTTAAAAAAAATACTTAGTAATTAAATTCTCGAATTTGCACTAATAGACTTTGATAATCAAAGTCACAAACAAAAAATAATAATCATAACGGAAAAATGTGACCTTTTGCAATGGCAATGGCAAATTGGTTATCTTACAATAATCTTGAGAGGCGAATGCTTCTTTCTCAGTTGGATCCACTTGCACACAAGGGACGTCAACCAAATCGGAGGATAACAATCCGAATTTGAATAACCAGCCCTAAGTGCGAGGCAGCCAGTATAAAGGTGGAAGGTGTTCGAACGAACGAATAGGTGAATTCACGAAGCCTCAAGGATAAAGGGCGCCATCAATTGTAGTCCAATTTGGAATATAGGATAAATATCTAAATATACATGGGTATCTATTTCAGTGGTTCGTTAGAACTATCCTGTTGGCTATAATATGAGCATCATTATTGTTTCAGAATCCGACATGAGTCGTGAACTATGATTGAACAATAGTCACACCAATGAATCACATTCAAAACTGAATTTCGCTGCGAGCCAAGAAAGCTAATGACTTGGTTGCACATTTTTTTCCATTCCTTTTTGTTCTCACTTTTCTCCTCCAGTCCCCTATTCGCATTTCATCCAAGTCCCTTTCTACTGCTTGTAGCCATTTTGTTCGAGGTCTGCCCCTTCTTCTGCTCCCCGTTATACCTCCTGTAGTACTTCTCTCGTTGATCTCTCTCCTTCCACCCTTCCTACGTGTACCAGCCACCTCAATCTTTGTACTCTAGTCACGTTTGTTATTAATGGCTCCCAGTATATTCTCATCAGTTCCTCGTTTGTTCTTCTCAGCCATACCTCTCCTTCTTTCTTTCCTCCATATATTTTTCTCAATACTTTTCTCTCAGATATTTCCAAAGAGTATTTTTCTTTTGTATTCAGTTTCCATGCTTCACTCTCATAAACAACTATTGGTCTCATTATTGTCTTATATATTATTTTTTTGATATTTCCCAAACATTTTGTTCCTTTTGCATTCCTTTCCTGTATTTCATCTTTTTGTTCTACATTATCAGTTATTGCCACTCCCAGATAATTACATTTTGTTACTTTCTCGAAATTATAGTGCTTTTCTCCTGATATAAACGTAAATCCTCTGTTTCTCTTTTCTGCTGTTTTCTTTTCTAGTACCATATACTTCGTTTTCTTTTCGTTTACGTTCCTTCGTCCCTAGCTGCTTTTTCAACTTTTTTATAGCATTTATTAAATTGCTCTGTCCTCGTCAGAATCACAAGATCATCAGCATAAGCTAATACTTGACATGACCGATTATATACTGTTCCCTTGGTTACTATTTCGCTTTCCCTTACTGCAGAATCTAAAACTATATTCAATAAAGTTGTAGATGTTTGACCATTAAGTAGAACCCTACGTTCGTTCTGTTAGGGTAATTTTCGCCAATCTTATCAGCTTTTCTTTTATCCTTATATTTCCCATTCATTTGTATAATTCACCTCTTTTTACCGTATCATACGCTTGTTTAAAATCAATAAAAATCATATAAAGAGGTAAATTTTGATCCAGGCTTGTCTATAATTTTTTTTAGGATAAATAGGTATCTGATCGGTTGCTGTTTGTTTTCCCTGAACCCGCATTAATATTGTCCTATTTTCGTCTCCACTACCGCATTTAATCTGTTTTTTATTGCTACCGTCAAAATTTTGTATACCACATCCATTAGGACAATTCCTCTGTAATTTTCACAGTTTGTCTTATCTCCTTTTTTATGTATGGGACAAATCATTGACTCTCTACATCGTCTTGGCATTGTCTTTACTTCCGATACACCCTTTATTATCTTGCATATGTTTTCTTCTTTTCAATTTCAAGATTCAACAATTTTATTTTCTAGAGTGAAAGGAATCAGAAATTTGTTCGCCTGTTAGGCGTGCAGAGAATAAAAGCATTGCAATTTCTTCATGTGGTAAGATCAAAGAAATAATATAACTCCATTTAAAAGGCAAGTTTCGGAGCAGGAAACTACGAAATATTTAAAAAATATTAACCAAGAAAAATGTTTGTTACCTACTTTAAACAAAATGACTCTGACTGAGAGATTGTACTGCCACAATTGTTCAGAGTTCGGGTTGAATATCTACAACTGAATTTAAACGATCATAATTTGTCAAGGACTGACTGATTATTATCAGTTAAACGATCCTTTTAAAATCCTACTGAAAACACTACGAAGAAAACTCAGTATTTATCTTCAAAATTGTCAGTAAAAACTATTTTAGATATCTTTATTTAACTAGGTTATAAGTAAAATAAACCTGATTTTAAAATTCCCTAGTAGTATACAAACTATTTTTTTTTTTTTTTTTCAGAAACGTTATTTGTATAGGAACACCAAGACTTCACGAACAAGGATCAATTGTGACGACATAAAAAGTATATCGTTAGACATCGACAGTAGATTCCACAGCGTTTTTGGACATTTAGAATATGTCTGGTATAATTCCTTCATGCATCATTTTTTCTTTACAGAAGCCGGAAATGTGTTTAAGGTCTCTCTAAAGTAAGTAGGAGTCTTAACATTCAGTTCCGCATGGATATTTGTAATATACACATTTTAATTTTAGAGAGAAAAATAATACAAAATTGGACGCAGAGTGAAACCAATTGCATATATTTTAATGACAATAAGCAACTAATATAAGAGTATTCATAAAACAAAGAGTGTTTTTCCGATGTTCTGGGCTTTTCCCTATTTTATGGAAACACAAATTTAAAATGGTTTAACAAATTTTAAAATGGTGGAACTGATCATTTTGGTAAAAGGGTTTATTTAATTATTTTTTAAAATATTTTTCGTAGGAGGTAGAACTACCCTACTTCGGAAAAAGACCGTATGTGCACATATGACAGTTTAGAGAAAATTGCAACGAGATATTAGGTATAGTTCATTTGGCTGTAATTCATTTACTAATTAAGGTAATAACTTAATTTTTTCGGTAATGGCAAATGGAAAAAAATATTTTTTAATGTATTTCAAGAATGTTAGAAAACATTGCAATTTCAATAAAATAAGAGTCACATATGCTGTTTTGTCTTAGTAAATTTTAGATTTTGCTATGTAAAAATGCCGTATGTACTACATTTTCAACAGAAATTAATAGAAGAACCAGAACATGCACATACATGATATTTTGGATGTTTTCACAGGATATTTTACAATTTTTAATATATTGTGTTACAAATAATGTTTAATTGTTGTTTAATTTAGAACAACGCATGTGAACACATACGAATTTAATTTGATGATTAGTTTTCGAAATATTTGAAAAAAAAATGAAATTATGGAAATCCGTTTTTGTTTCATTTCAGCCTTGTTTGAGGTGGTATTGAAAAAAAGGAGGATACTTTCTCATGGCCACTTTTTGCCCTTTATCGAATGGCATAATCAATTTTTATATGTAACGTTTCGTCTCTCCAGGACCATCATCAACTTCAATTTTTTAAATACGACGCTGGAAATTTTATTACATTTTTTGCAAGCCTTCGTGACCCCCAATACTATACTGCCTCAGGCCGAACCAGATTCAGATGTTTTGTCTCGAAAAATTCAACCAGAAGCGAATTTGTAACCTGTATACCTACCTCTTAATGAAATACATGCACATAAGTCTGCATCAGACACATAATATGGTGTTTTTTTCTATTATAGCAATGAAGAAAATAAGAGCGACACAATATTAGAAATTTAAAATGTACAAATTTTTAAATCTAATGACGCAAAAACGATATTTTTGATATTTATAGATGGGTATACTGCGATGTAGATTTCGAAAATGTAATTATCTCAATTTGTCACAAAACTGCACATACGGTCTTTTTCCGAAGTAGGACACAGAATACCTTATAAAGAAGAAATTCATACAAATGTTTTTTTTATAGTCTGTTTGGAAATGATAGAGAGTAATAAAACCCCGAGATAAGAACCGGCCATGGGCGTGGTAAAATTTCGTTTCAGGTAATTATCGGGTAACACTAATGCTAATTCTGTGACGAAGGGAGGAATATTTATTATCTAGACGAAACTTGGGTCAACGAGGGATATACTGTAACAAAAGCATGGCAAGATAAAAATGTAAACAATTTTCGACAAGCATTTTTGGATGGACTTTCAACAGGGTTCAAGGCACCTTCAGGTAAAGGGCGAAGATTAATAGTGACACATATAGGTAGTGCCAGTGGTTTTGTAGATGGCGGTTTACTTTTATTTGAATCTAAAAATACAGGTGACTATCACGAAGACATGAACGCAGATGTTTTCGAAGAGTATTTTACACAGATGTTGGATCTTATTCCTCCGGGGTCTGTAATTGTCATGGATAATGCCAGTTACCATTCACGGCAGACCGAGCGGACGCCTACGACTGCTTGGAGGAAAGCCGATATAATTCAATGGTTATCCGGAAAAAACATTTCTTTTGAAACAAATATGGTGAAAAAGGAACTTTTGACACTTGTCAATCTTAATAAAGATCAGAAAAAATATGTTATCGATGAAATGGCAACAAATCGCCAAATAACGGTACTACGGTTACCACCTTATCACTGTGAACTTAACCCAATCGAATTAGTCTGGGCGCAGGTAAAAGGAGATGTAGCGCGAAATAATACGACGTTTAAATTAAGTGACGTGAAAATTTTGTTAAAAAATTCCTTGGAACGAGTAACTGCAGATAACTGGCAAAGATGTATACATCATGTACAAAAAGAAGAGGAGAAAATGTGGGAACTCGATAATTTAATTGACGTTACTGTGGAACCTATCGTTATCAATCTAGGAGACGAAGATAATTCATCAGAATATTCAGAGGATGAATTTTAATATACCTACTTTTTTATTTTCTTTATTGTACATTTATACAACACTACATTTACTCACCATAATTTGAATTTTCAAAATACATATATTTTTGTGTGGAATAAAAGTCTATTCATTAAATTTAAATAAATATTTTGATAATAATATTGAATAATTTTATTTGAATTACTAAAAACCCTCTTAACCCGGTTATGATGCTTAAAGTAGCCTCATGTTTTGAAATGCTGTTTTTATATTGTTTACTTATAAGAGAAATGGACCGAGAAATTGAAGCGGCATAGACAAAGACGGATTGTCGGGGATTAAATTTTAGCTACCTGCTACAATTTAGTACAGTCCGATCGCACAAAGTTTTTTTAAAAGTACACCTCATCTATACCGAAAATGCATAATATAAAAATATTGAATATAAGCACCAGTACTACATTTATTTACGATTTGCATACATAATAAGCTTTTATTACTCTCTTTAATTTCTAAATAGACTATAGACAAACAAAGTAATATTTTAGATATATTAAATGATGCCAATAAATATAGATGTTGTGAGCAAAAATAATTGTATATGACTTTTTTTGAAGAGAAATTTTGATTACGAAGAAATTACTTGGTATTTTATTAATTTACTGAAGAATAGAATATACTAAAATGAAAATGTAAATAATACGAGCAATTGAAGTTGCAAGACCATTACTGAAGTTCAGTCGGAGAAATATTAGAAATGTCATAAAAAGAAATTTCTATTAATTAGTTAAATTGATGGAAGAATAAATTCTTTAACAATCCCAGTATTAATTGTTTGCAAGGAGTATATGGCTTAATCGCATTCAAACTACTTTTGACCAGATTGCACCTAATAAAAAATGTGCTACATATATTAAAGCAATATAAATGATACAGCATATTTCTCAAGATACATTAGTAATTAACCAATGGAGGTATAGCGTACATGTCTATAATTCTTTCCCATTTGAGGTAGTCTCTTGGATTCTTCTGCATTTCAAGTGTATCGTTGATGTTCAAATACACCAAATTATTTGGACTAACTTTCTCCCACGTCACGTTACCCAGGGTACTGTCCACTTCTGGAGTTGGGTTTCTAAAGAAAATCATGCATAAATATTATTTTATGCGATTCTGATCATAATTACTCACAGGTATTTGACAAAGTTTGACCACAGGGTTAACAAACGTTGACGTATCGCAACATCTTCTGGATCTTCAGATCCACTAGAAGAGAACGCGTCCCAGAAATAACCCAAGTCTTCAGCGTGACCAACACCCCGAACACCTGAAATCAGATTATGTGGTAGTTTGCAAATATTTATTGTTAATATCGAAAATATTGACCGTGTACGTGATTAATTTGCACCAATGAATGAATTCTCCACATTTGTTCTATGCAGGGTGTTACGTGACGTACTGGATAAAATGAAGGTACAAGTTTCTGAGGTCATGCTGAGTAAAAAGTTATAATATACATAGGGTCAATTATCCAGGGTTACCGAGTTATGGTCCTTTAAAGTTTAGCAACATATCATATACACAGATTTTAAACTTTTACTTTGTTTGACTGTCAGGAATAACAGTATCAAAATGACAACAAAACAAAAATAACATACTTATTTACGTAGTTCAAAATGTCCTTCAGCACTAATACACTGAACAACACCACCATGAATAGATTGAGTGACTGCTCCTAAAATCTCCGGGTTATTCCTCACTTGCTGACATTTATCATTAATTATCTGCTCAAGTTCCTCTCTACTATTAATTGGTGTCTCGTATCCTAAGCTTTTAAGATGGCCTCAGAGGTAATCGTTTAAAGGATTGAGATATGGCGATCTCTGTGGCCAAGAAAGTGATCCTCTACGTCCGATCCAATATAGCTTTCATTAAGATACTCTCTCGTTAGTCCACTAAAATGAGCAGGAGCTCCATCATGTCGTAATATCATTTGTTGCCTTGTAAGTATAAGAATATCTTCCAATAGACCTGGCAATTCATTACGTAAAAGGTTGGTGTAAACTTCTCCTGTAAGGCGCTCTTCAAAAAAGAAGGGCCCAATTATTTGATTATCAATTATGTCACATCAGATGTTTGTAGAAGATCGTCGTTGAAAAGGAGATCTTTTCTTGAAATGAGGTTCTGATCAGACCATCTGTGAGACTTGTGCATATTTTTCACTCGGTCTCGATTAAATAACTAGGTACTCATCGGTAAATAAAATACGTCTTAATAATTGAAGATTTGCTTGAATCCATTGGAAAAAATGTTACCCGTGAAAGTAAGCCATGCGGTTTCAAATGTCGAACCTGATTGTACATGATAAGGATACAATAGACTGCTACGTAATGTTCGCCATACTCTCCAATGAGGAAAATTCGTACGTGCTGAAATTCTCCTGGTACATAATTCTGGACTGTTCTCAATTATTATCTATCTCGTACAAAAGGTTTCCTTGCTCAATCAAATTTTGCTGCTCAGGGCGTTCATACTTAGTTGACATCCTAGATAAATGATACGTTGACATTGTCGAGACACATAATCAAATGTTTGACGATTTTGCACTCTTCTGGCTAAACATTTCCCAGCATGACTTATACCGTAACATACTAGTACCATAAATAATTATTTTATTCAGAATGAGCTCAGGGACTTGTTCTTTAAGTTTGTCCAGTATGTTGAGTAGATAAGTACACTCATAATAATGTACAGGAGTTATATCAGGATAATTAGAGTTATTATTTAAAAGTTTATATGTATAAGAATAAAAGAGACGTCATTGTTTTGATTTGACAAACGCATTATACAAAACTGACTGTGGAACCTTCTTTAAGATGCTTAATATTTCTTATAATATAATGCAATTATCACGAGGCATACAATTTAATTTCAAATAAAAAATTACACCCAAATCTTTAAATTCAGCTCTACAGAGTTTTGCAACCACATTATACTCCTTAGCTTAATTTTTCTTGTCATAATGCAACATTTTGTTATGTTCAGTGATTATTTATTATTTTCCCATTATTCATACACGCTGATAGATATTTTTTTTAATGCAATATAACCTTCAACATATGAAATAGAAGTGTATAGCTTGAATAGACTTGTATAAAATAATATTATTAAATTATAAATATCAACATTACTATGGGTCAATAACTGAACCTTAGAGTACACCACATGTAGCAGCAATTTCAGTTTAGCTAGAAACACGATTGTGAACTCTCAGTAATCCCTTTGAAAAGTTCAGAAACTTTATCGGTATACCAAAATTTGATAATTTACAAAGCGGAATGTCGTGGAAATTTTAGATTTAACCCGAAACTACAAAACGTTAAGCAGAATAACTTCAAACCTTTTGCCAAAATTACAGAAAAAGTTTTCGACATTTTTATCACCTCTTTTGAATATAGGTCAGAATTTGACATTAGTTTAAAAATATGGTTTGATATTTGAAGAGCCAAATTAAAAATAGTTGTCAAAGTAATGCACAATATATCAGTCTCTTATATTTTTTTATATAAACCAAATTTTTGTTTTTTGAAGATAACATCCTGTATATTTGCAATATTAAATAATACTTTAAATTCTTAGAAAAATATTTTATTAGAAGGTTACATCAGTCTGTTCGATATATAATGAAGTTACAGATCCATCATATAAAACGCCCTTAGAAGTATATATTACGTAACTGGAAATATTAAAATTACCCAACAACCAATAATACTAATATGTCATTATTCATTTATATTAGGAGAAATTCATACATTAAAACGTATGCAGAAGACTGATTTGGATTATTCTAATAGAAAATACAATTAAATGAGGAAAAACCGGCACAACTATTTGCGTAACTAATACAAACCCTTCTCTGTTGCTCTCTATGTCCTAACGATACATTGTATAGGTATTTGTTAACATTTCTTCAATACAGAAAACTTACCTGCAACTTCAAAATCCTTCATACCTCCCATATTGCCTTTGTATGAAAACTGGTACAAATAAACGTCGGTATAGTTAGATTGTAACTTTGCATGCCTAGTAACTGGGGTTGAAAACGACTCATCAGTGTAAAACTAAAGAAAAGTTTTATTATATTATCGATCATTTGTTTCAATTATTTTTACTCTCTTTAAACGTTGGAAGGGTTAATATGCAGCAATAGATTGTGAAAGCAAGTTCTTTTTTTTGGAAGATTGTTTGAAAGTTTAATATGCGACTTTTTTCGTTATTGAGAAATTTTTCGTTTTGAACAATGTAGTAACAATTTCAACAAACACATGAAAAGCAGCTGAAAAAAATATATGGATGTTACCTTCACTACTTGCGCAGGATCGTCTTCGAATGTTCCATCGGTGTAAATTTGTCTCAATCTAGTGCCAGCTGTCACTTTATTCTCTGTGGTCATATTGAACTTGTTTCTAATGAGGTTGGATAAATCACTGTCGAAATATTTCGCAAGCACCTCAACATCCAAATCATCTTAAAATATCGGTTGACATTTGTATCAAATAATAAGATGTTTGAATAAATTTTCGTAATCTTACCAGTCTTAAAAAAAAATAGTGCCTCTTCAGAGTTAAAGCCAATAATTATGGGAACTTGGTTTATGTTTCCTGTTCTAATGTCTTCATGAAATAAATCCGTGAGGAATGCTCCATCTAGACTAGCGTCCTCAATTACAGGCAGCCATATTATACCTTGGCCTTCGAATAATCCAGCCTCTTTTCCAACAGCAACCTATGCAACTTTAGATTATAGTGTATGATCTATATTGTTTAGTTTTTAACTTCTTACTTATCACCAATCTATATAAAAAATGCATTCATTCAACTTACAGCAACTGCGTTGTCGGTTATGTTGGAAGCAGGGAGGCTTCGCAACAGTTCCAGTAATTCCGTTGAATTATCCGAAGTGAAACTTGGATCCAAATTTCGAGCTAATTCGAAAGCGTAGAATCTTGCATAATCTTGATGTGCCTGCTGATGCAGTGGGGTAAGACTTTGTAAAATGCCAGCTCTGAATAAACCTTTACTCCGTTGACTTATTATTTGGTATCCCACACATCCTGCTCCGGCACTTTCACCAGCTATCGTTATTTTTTCGGGGTCGCCACCAAATAGATCGATATTATTTTTAACCCACTTAAGTGCAACATGTTGATCTTTTAATCCTAAGTTTCCTGGTATGACTCCATCCTCTGTTGTCAGAAATCCTGAAAGAAAATGAATTGAAACTTTAGAATAAATTGAGAATAAGATTATCAGAATTTTAGGAGTGGGTTTTAATATCATTACTTGTTATTTTATAAGTACTATTTGTTCCAAATGCCTGATATTCAGTGGCGGCCCGCGGGTTTGAATACAGGGGGGGCGCATTTTGAAAAGAGGATGTACATCATAAGAGCTGCGGGGGTGTGGGGAATTTGAAGGTCATTGTGTTTTGCAAGTACCCCAAAATGAATACTGTCAGTGTGTACAGTAGCTACTTAGATACAATGCGAGAAATAAAATTCCAACGTGAGGATAAGAAGAAATACAAATACATTTTAACAATATAGGTAAAAAATTAAAAGTTAATATAAAAACAATGTAATAATATATTAATAAAAAAATTTAAAAAAACATAAAAGGTTATGAATAAAGAAATGACAAAAAATTCGAAAACAAAAATAAAAATGTGGAAAATTAAATAAAAAATTAATATAAAAAAGTACTAGAATTTTTAATGAATTAATATTAGAAAAATTACCGACAAGGAGCAGCTAAAATTATCTAACTATCTAAGTCTAATTCACTGTTAAATATATTATAGAGAACATTTAAACTGTTCGTTCTCGGTATTGGTAAATAAATGACATTGCAATGACTGGTTTATTCAAGGTACATAAAAATTTAATCTTGATAAAATTTCAGCGTTGCATACTTTCGATTTTATTTTATATAATTCTATAAGAAAAATTTGACGTATATTTGTAATGTCATTACAACGGAATAGCAAGTTTCCTAATATTTCCTAATAAAGATCCTTGTATATACGACGGTATATTGAGATGATAATTATTTGAGATAAAGTTGCCATAGGGTTAGAGAAACCAAAATTTGAGAGCTTATTGAACAAAAGATCTAAACTATCAAATGTTTTAATCAAATCGAGATATATCGAGAATATTGTATTCGTTGAAGCAATTATGCCTCAAATTGAATCTCAAACATAAAATTTGTTTCCGTCTCTTTACCTTTGTAAAAATCGTGCTAAAAGGAGAACTTAGATTTTTTGACAAAGAAAGCATTAAATAATGAATTAAAAATTGAAATATCTTATAATCATATATCATATATGTCGGTCTACATATATAGTTATTTACATCAAGTTTGTATCTGCTGCTTGAGTGCCAGTGACGGAGATACTGGAGATTACTTACACTAAAAACCTCACAAATTGGACGCTACTAAATATTTTGATAATTCTATTACTACTAGTTTCGACATTGTGCATCAAACGCCTTCAGAAATATTTTAGAAATGGTGATTTTTTTAAATTTCAACACCCTGTATCTCGAAAACTATCTATTGTGGGCCCATGTTTATGTAATTCTTTTCGTGTAAAATCACTTAAATGTGTGCACATATTTCATTAACACCCTATACATTGAGCTGAATTTAGCTGTTTTCCAATGTTTACGAACAATTTTCGATTGCAGCCTTAAACAACTTTGGAAAGAGTTTTGCAAACACAAACAGACAAACTATGGTGTATAATATACAGCTTCGGAAAGTCCCCATGGTTCATCGGCCGTTACGTGAGAGCGATAAAGTGAGTCATAGAAATCCGTGCGATAGACAAGAATGGTTACATTGAAGACGTTTTATAATCTGAATAGTTCTAACCCGAAACGGGCGGTGACTATACAGATCATGAAACGTCTTCACTATAGCCATCCTTGTCTATTGCTTGGATTTCTATGACTTACTTTATCGCTCTCACGTAACGGCAGATGAACCATGGGGACTTTCCAATCCTGTATATCGGTTTGTATTTTTTTACCCTTACTGAAGTGTCATACGAATAAGTCTACATGAAAAAATCCACAGAAGATTTTATTGTCAGTTGGAAATAATTATTTTTTCTTCTTGAAATAAGCCCAGAATTTTATTATATTTATTACTTACCTAGAACTCCTACACGGTAGTTTATCGTGACAACAACAATATTGTGGTCAATGAAGTATCCAGGTTTGTATGACTGAATAGCACCAGTTCCAGATTGAAATCCACCTCCGTGTATCCATACTAACACCGGCAATGGGGTTTGTGAAGTATCTCCAGGTTTCTAAAAGAAAATCTGTATCGATAATGACGATATTTGAACAATAACAGTAAAGCAAATGTTACTTCAATATTTTGAGACGTATAATTTTACTGGAACTACACCTGTATTTTTACATAACTTTATTAAATAAAAAATAAATATTTTCGGTCACGATTGCACCGCTCATTAAGCTCATAATTATTCATATTTTATTTTTTTCTCATTGAGTCTAACCAAATAATAATAATAGTGATAGACATCGGCAAAAAGAGTTTGACAACACTGTCCAAAATTTTTGATATTAAAATAACTGCAGTATCAGTTAATTGAAACTATTCTTACCAGAGGAGTGTAAACATTCAAGTACAAACAGTCTTCCGTTGGGTATAATCCGGAAGCCGGAAATCCTTGGTAACACATTTTTTCATTTTTCGTGGTGTTTAATATTCCTTCCCATTTTGCTGGGGCTACAGGTGCCTAAATGTGAATTGAAACGTTAAAAATAAAATGTAAAAAAATATATATGTTTACATCCTCACCTGAAATCTTAATTCGCCTACAGGTGGAGCTGCGTACGGTATTTCTTGAAATGCATAATAAACATTATCGTCTGGAGACTGCAATGCTTGACCTCTTATTTGGCCCTCTGGTAAAGCGACAAGTGTCGGATCATCTACCTATTTATGAAGAAATATGTGGTATTTATGGTACTATAACTAGATACATAGATATTTTTAATTATTACATAAGTACATAAAGAAGACATTTCAAATTTACAAAACTTCGATAAAAGTTTAAGTAAGTCAATAATTACTTACATCTGCTACAGATGATCTTATTACACATGAAATCAGTAGCAGCAGCCCGTTGTACTTCATCATTTCGAACTAATAGCGATAACGAACAAGCTCTTCAATTTATAGAATCTGGAGCTGGTAATTTTTTATTTTGTCAAAACTCAAGTGTTCGACTTTCGTACACATTTTTTGTTTCTGTTTTATCTTTATCTTTTTTTTTTATAAAGAACATACAGCAATGGAAAAATTATTATATCAGCACTTTAAATTAAAGTGGTTTTAACTGATTTGCAAGTTGCATGGATTACACTGAAAAACCGGTGACTAGGCAAATTTTGAAACATTTTCTATAAAAACCAAAAAAAAGTTCCCACAAATCATCAGCAAAATATTGTCATGGCATATGTAGAGTTTATTTAAATGAAGTAGTTCAAATGGAACTTTCGAAGTTTTATTTAACTAATACAAAAAAACACAGTACCTACATACTTATAACTCGAATTTACTAATATAAATAAAAATTAAATGCTGTTCGCTGGTAAGCGTATCACTTGAGAACGGCTTAATTTGGCTATTTTTTATGTTCGTAATAGTGCGAATAATGTTTTTAGGGAAAGAAAAATTGGAAAAGTAGACCGGAAAATTGGAAAAATCTGGAAAAACTGAAAGTGCTGATCACAAACAAATTTATTGAAATTTGGACAGGACAACGTTTGTAGGGTCAGGTAGTTGTATATAATTTTTGTATTTAATGTTAAGATTATTGAATATTCGACTTTTTTTGTATAAACATCTATTGTAGGTACTTACTTCTCATAATGGCTTATTGTGAGGTTATATAGACATTAGTATTTACCTAAAGGTCCCAATAGTGACATCAGCGGTATTACTTTTTATAAAATACTGAGGTTTGATAAGTCGTATTGCTCGACCTAGAAATTGGAACGTACCTGCATGTGATCCACAGTTATCTATACTGGATGAGGTTAATAAATATAAATAAAAAAGAGCTCCAATTTGAAAGAATGAAATATTTTCCAAATATGGATTTTCATTGTATTCTCTAGAAAATGGAAAATTTTAATTTTACGTATAACCATTTTGCTCCTTCTTGCTTGTCAAGCTGTTGGAAAGCCAGGAAATTTATAAATAAAATAGTAACAATACAATGGGATGTTTGCATAAAAAGAAATTATATTGTTTTGTTATTGAACACTATTCTGCAATAAAAGTTACTCCTACACTTTCTATTGATTAAAAAAAAAAATCGCACGTCCTTATGACCTTGAATTTGTGACCTGGTAGACATCTTATTACGGAAAATATCTTGCTTGTGTAAGTCCGCTGTGTCTCTCTATCAGCAAATAAAAGAAGACTGATTTAGAGTCCGGGGTTTTCGTCGGCTAGTCATAGGCGTGGTAAACAAGTAAAAAATAAATAAACAGATAGGTACAAATAAAAATAGATATATTATATACTTTATCAGCGAAAGGTCGTTTTTACATTATTAGAATATTAAAACACGTATACACGAAGCAAACGCGAAGCCTATAACTGCTGTTATTACCAGTTTTGTACGTGGCTGTAGCGAAAGGCCGACACCACGGCTATGATCATCCGACCGACTACCTAATAATCTCGATAATAGTATAAAATTTTAGTTGATCGCAATTAAGGCATAGTGTAACACGTTACAACGGGGGGCCAAATTATTTTCATTTTTGTTATTTATCAGTTACATAACGACATCTTGCAAAAATTAAAAAAAATACCTATGAGTCAAGTTTTTTGCCACATTATTTAAATTTATGGTAATATCACAAATGGTGATGAACACCTCAGTATAAAGAGCACTAAAAACAATTTGCAGTTTTACTTATAAAGCGAGGGGTATTTTATTATCCGGTATTACCATGTTATTACTGATCAGAGTTTTTGTAGATTTACATTGTGATATTTCGATGTTTTTGTAAATTTTCAGTTTCTTTACTTTTACAATATATATTTGGAATAGGTACTACCATGTAGCTTTTCTGTAATTTCACAACATATAAATTAGTACTAGTAATTCCACAATGTGATACTTACATTTTTTGTTTTAGTTACTGTAATGAATCTGAAATTAAAATAAAAAATTAAATATATTATAAGATGGAAATTATTTAAAGTTTTAAATAAAATATTAGATAATCCAAGTCAAGGTTTGAGTGGGATAAAAATCAATAACTAAAAGAACACTATATTTCAAATCATTGCCAACGTTTCGGTGTTATTTTACACCATCCAGGGCTCTAAAATAAAATGTTTTTTAAAATAAAATTCTCTAACTTATTAAAATTATTAAAAAAGATACTCTAGACCAGGAATTTTTTGGAACAACTTTTAATAGTAGGCCGTGATTAAATCTGTCGTCATTCAGATTTGGAAGATTTTTTGCAGACAAGAAATAAAACGTTGTCGCTTTATTAAATTATTTATTCATTTCGTTCAACGCAAAATATAACAAACAGTACTAGTTCTATGAAACTAATTAAGTACCAGTAAAAAATTAACACTAAAGATGCTGTTCAAAACGGCTCCCATTTTCTCTTACACATAAATGAACCCTTCACCGAAAGTCAAAGTCTACTCTATTCAATAATTGAATGTTATTTTTTATAATGGTGCATTTATTATTGATGCGGTTCCATAAATCTTCCTCAGTTTCAACAGGAGTCGAATATACAAATTCTTTTGAAGTCCCCCAAAGAAAAAAGTCACATTTATTTAAATCGGGCTATCGCGGTGGCCAGTGTTGATGGCAGTTATTTCCTCGACCTATCCATCGATTTGGGTACTATTGGTTTAAAAATTCTTGAACATCCATACTAAAATGCGGAGGCGCACGTCGTGCATAATCCACATTTTACGACGTAATTGCAAATCCAGTAGTACAGGAATAGTATTTTTTAAGAAATCCAAAGAAGTGGCGCCATCTAAGCGGTATGGTAAAATAACTGGACCAACCAAATATCGCCCAACAATACTTGCTAAACTCTCTGTGGTAATGATGGGTTACTGTAGTACGTAGATTTTGATCCGAATATTCATGACTGTTGTGCATATTTATAATCCCTCTCCATGTAAAGCCAGCTTCATCCGTGAAAAGAATGATCCTGTGGAAACCAATGTTCTGAAATTGGACGAAATTGCAAAAAATCATCCTTGGCTCGAGGTTTCACGGTAACAGTTCTTGAACTTTTTGAAAATGATATGGATGCAGCAAATTACATCATATAATTCCATGGACTGTGGACTGTGGTATGTTAAAATGCCGGGATATTCTTCTGGTAATGCGTATTCGCGACTTCCAACGTTTCTTCGGCAGCAAAGAGAACCAGTTTCCCGAGCTCCTCGTTCAACATTGGTATATTTACAGAATTTGGTTGTTCTGTATTAAGGCATTGCTGAAATATCGAATTTTTTTCTATTTTTTAAGACATTTTCAGAGGCCAATATCTCCGCAACCGTAGGTATGAGAAAAAAAATCACGTGAAAAATCTTGTTTGGTGTTCTCTACACGCACCTGTTCTATGTCCATTGAGTTGTGAATGACCCTGCACTTGATATCACGAAGGGCCGAATATTCTAAAAAGCTGTTTGACAAACATCGAAGAATTAACAAGAATATTGAAGTAGGTGATTTTGTGTTTCATCCTTCGGGTAATTCCCATCTATCCAAGTTGGATCGCAAATTCGCAAATACGAGGGTCCATTTGAAGTGGTTCAATTGCTACCTAACAATCGCCTTGAACTGAAGAATTTAACTACTAACCGAAAACGGGTTGTGGCTACAGATATGGTTCGAACTTGGCCTGGAGAATTTCCTGTTCCCGAGTATGATAAAACGTGAGTTTGTGGCTTGTGTGAGCATTAATAATAATTGATAATAATAAGATAAAAAAAAACAAAAAAGTGCAATAAAATAAAAAAAGTTATTGTTGAAAGTACATAGGGACGCTTTGGAATAAGATAAAAAAACAAAAAATAGTTATTGTTGGAAGCACGTAGGGACGCTTTGCAATAAAATAAAAAAAAAGTTATTGTTGAAAGCACATAGAAACGCTTTGCAATAAGATAAAAAAAAGTTATTGTTGAAAGCACGTAGGGACGCTTTGCAAAAAATTTAAAAAAAAACTAAAAAGTTATTGTTGAAAGCACGTAGGGACGCTTTGCAATAAAATAAAAAAAAAGTTATTGTTGAAAGCACATAGAAACGCTTTGCAATAAGATAAAAAAAAAAGTTATTGTTGAAAGCACGTAGGGACGCTTTGCAAAAAATTTAAAAAAAAACAAAAAAGTTATTGTTGAAAGTACATAGGGATGCTTTGCAATAAAATAAAATAAAAAAGGAAGCTATTGTTGAAAGCACAAAGGGACGCTTTGCAATAGATATTGTTGAATGATAGAGCATTACAAAGATATTGTTGAAAGCACAAGGAGACGCTTTGCAATAGTAAAAATGTATTATATGAATGTGTGAGTGAATTGTTGAAAGCACAAAGGAACGCTTTGCAATATGATTCAAAAACAAAAATAATAAAAAAAATATGTGTTTAAGTGCAATGACAAATACGAAGTTGATGCCGTGATTGTTTTTCTTTTCATCGAGGTCATCACTCCCAACAGGATTAGAAAATTAATTCCAGAACGAATTAAAGGTCAGGTTTGGCCGTGTGAGCATTCATAGTTTTTGAAAAAACAAATAAACCGACGGCGACAGTCTGGGACGATGATGTCATCAATAGCCAGCCTTCACTGTGCATTTAGAAATATTAATTGTTTATAGTTGTTTATAGTTATAAGATTAGGTCCCCATATTATGTGATGTGACGGCTCCAACAGGAGACTGTTATTGAATGAACGCTCGTTCGAGTTAGACCGGGCAGAAAATTGTAAATTGTACGAAATAAAGATTTGTGTTGGGCTTTTCGAAACCTTATTTTTGTTTAATAATCAAATCTAACATATACTTACCCAAGTGACTTGCTCTTTTCTGAACCCCTTAATTTCTGACGAATGACCCGGCTGTTGTCGAGATAACTGCTTTGTGATGACCCATGTATAAAAGGTAACAATACCAACAATAACATCTATTTTACACCTACGTATAAAATATATCTATAAAAACAAATAAGGTGATTAGATCTACACTTTTAATGATTGTGATGGTGATCACTGATTGGCTATCAAAAAACGTGTAATATAGTAAAGTGTTTCTATCTTGTCACGTACATAATATTTTTACAGTGACTACCTTGATCGAAAATTATCGTTTTCAACAATAACCAATAAACGAATAATGAAATAACTAGGCGAGGGACTAAGTATATGATGAAATACAAAACAATGTTTTAGAAAATTACGCTGTCAATTAAAACTCTATGCCGACTAAAGCCTATTTGTCTATTTTTACTGAAATTACTCAATTTTTTAAATATTTGTTAGATTTCTTATAATTATTGGAACTTTAATTAAACAAAAAGAATAAAACAGATACAATTGTATTCTAGATTTTTAACAACTGCATAACCCGACAGCTAGCTAGAGAGTGTATCATTCCGTTTCCTTGGTACCCGATGTCTTTCATCGGCCGTGGTGATCTCACTCATACCAGTAGCATCAACAAACAAACGGTAACCGCCGTCCTGTTGAATGCTGACATCAAATTCCTAACACGGCCCTTCCTGGCGTCAAGGGTCCTCGCGCTGCTGGGGAAGGGGATTTGGATTATACTGTAAACACACAAGATTTATTAGATATTATAAGTAGGGTACTTTTTGCCTATATGCCGCAACTAACTTAATGCTATCTTAACTATGGACTCGTAAATAGATAGAATTTAACAGAGATACAGTCCCGTAATTCGATCGGTAAACATCAAAACTACGGTGGCGACACACGCCCTAAAACTACGATGACGACAAACGACCTAAAACTAAGGCAACGACAAACGTTACCCGACGAAAGCCCGTCCAAGGAATACCTGTTTAGCTAAAACAAGTCGGTCACATCTACAGAATTAATCAATTCGAGTTCAAATGCGGAAATAATTCTGAAACGGTAGCCCTTTACCAGGTGGAACTCTCATGGCTTTGTCGATAGTCATTAATACCCCACTAGATGTTCGTTATGTTTTGATCCCAACAGTTAACGATTAAGATTGGCTCCCATTATGGCCAACGAATCAATGAGCGTCCGATTTTTACCTTTCAACTTGTCCATTTCCTCGTGGCAATCCGACGACATTTAAATGATGAGTCGCACCAATGTTGTGCACAAAAGCTTTAAATGCTTCTAAAGTAAACGAGTGACCTTGTTCAGAAATTATACGACGGGGAACACCAACATTTTTAATAAAATCTTGGAAACATTTAATAATATGTCTTGCTTTCGTACCTTTGACTGGATATATGTACCAATAAAAATTTCGTAAATGTACCTACGACCATTACTATATAAGTATTGCCACTACACGTCTTACTAAAAGCGACTGCGAAAGTACGGCGTCGTAATTAACTCCGCAAAGTGCGTGTTCGGACAAAGCGAAGTGAAATTCCTCGGTTATCTGGTGTCAAGTGAGGGCACGCGACCGCTGCCCGAAAAGGTCGAGGCAATAAAAGACTACCCGTTGCCTACGACAATAAAGCACCCATAAATTGGAAAAAAAACGCGAAAAGTGCTTTTGAGGAGGCTAAAGAGAGCTTAGCACAGGCAGCTCTATTCGCGCACCCCGGTGAAAATACGCAAATCGCTCTAGTGTGTGACGCTTCTGACTTAGCAATTGGTGCCGTAGTGCAACAAAAAGTTGAGAGCGATTGGGAACCGCTAGGGTATTTTTCCAAAAAATTTAACCCAGCTCAGTGCAAATACGCTGCTTACGACCGCGAACTTCTTGGGTTTTTCGAAGCAGTCAAATACTTCCGGCATATGGTCGAGGCAAGAACATTCGCGATTTACACCGACCATAAGCCTCTTATGTTTGCCTTTGCGAAAAAGTCAAGTCAGTGTACACCGCGACAATTCCGCTATCTAGACTTTATTGGCCAGTTTACGACAGACATTCGTCACATGGCTGGTCGCGAGAACGTTGTAGCGGATGCCTTGTCCAGGGTAAACGAGGTACGCACGACTTTAGACTACGAGGCACTCGCAGCATCGCAACAAAATGACGATGAAATCAAGGAGTACGTCGACGGACAATACGGCGTCACACTAAAGCGTTTCAAATTACCCGACACGAACGCGACTGTATTTTGTGACGTATCTACGGACGTGGCCCGGCCGTTTATCACCAAACCATTTCGTAAGGTAGTGTTCGACTCGGTGCATCGGTATTAACGCCACAGCCAAGCTCCTTAAACAACGTTTCGTCTGGCCGTCAGTAAAGCGTGATAGCAGACGTTGAGCACGTTGCTGCGTTGATTGTCAATGCGCAAAAGTAACGCGATACGTGACTTCTCCGACAGGTTCATTTCAACCTTCGTCAACGAGATTTGAACATATCCACGTGGATATCGTCGTGATGCCGCCATCTAAAGGCTACCGCTACTGCTTAACCTGCGTAGACCGTTTCACCAGGTGGCCAGAAACTGTAGCTCGCGCTTTATATGCTAATTGGATATGCAGATTTGGATCACCTCTGCGAATAACGACGGATCAGGGTCGACAGTTCGAATCGCACCTATTCAGACGCCTGAATAGTTTACTAGGTACGACTCATCTCCGAACCACCGCATATCACGCTGCAGCAAATGGCATGGTAGAGCGTTTTCACTGCCAATTAAAAGCAGCGATAAAATGCCACCAAAACGATCGATGGACTAGCATTCTTCCCACTGTGCTATTGGGAATACGTGCAGCATGGAAAGAAGACCAAACATTCGCGGTGCTAGTGCGTGATCGCGAAGTTAAAGTGTCTACAAACAGAGTCAAACCTGCGTATTGTTTGAATAATGCGACAGCTACCAGGGACGAGGACAATAGTCTTCCATCAACTTCTGCCCCATTATCAGTGGCAACCATACCCAAGGTAATTACTACTAGGTCCGGTAGAAGGGTCCGTTTCCCTGACCGGCTGCAAATTCCGTGATGGTATCCATACTGGCAGGGGGGTATGTGGGTACACATGTTGCAAGTGATCCGTTTTTAAGCATTACGTCAAGAGCGTCAGCAGGACGCCGCCGGATGTACCAGCGTTCCAAGAAGGATCTACTGGCGCCGGGCAACCAGATGCCTAGCCATATATCTACGACCGACTCCACACACAGGGACTCTCCAACAAACACTCGAACCGTCAACAGGTCTTTCTCACGAGCTTAGTTTTTCAATAAAAATAGTTTATTATTACTGTTGAGAGAACGTCTTATTCTTGCTGTACAGCGAAAGCAACCCTCAGAAGTATTGTAATATAACTACGAAATGTTGTAAAACGTTATAAATAAATTAACTTCGAACAGTATTTTATATGTTACATAGTTCAATGAATGCCTCAAATCAGTTCCTTATTCCGCTTTAGCCAGAATGTTTAATATTCTTCCCCTTTCATTTCGAGACCCGCGCACTCAGACGACTAGATGACTCTCGGTGTTTAAGTCCGAGATTGGACATCCGTCATCACTTTCCGACACATGGGTATTAAATTCATGAATCAATCTGAATTAAATTTTAATCTTTTTAAAACTAAACTTAAATGAGTTTTTTAATTAGGAAATGTTTCTATAGTATGTATACATATACAGGGTGTCCCAAAATAACGTGTACAACGGAAGACCACAGATTCGTAGATTTAAAATAGGCAGATTTAGGCTAATTCACCTATATCCAAAATCGCTTCGTTTGGCCGCTAGATGGCCTCAAAGTTTGTGAAAATATTTTGAATTTTGTAAATAACTCGAATACGTATTATTCGATTTTGAATATTTTTGGGGTGTGGACTTTTGTTTTCAATCTACACATTTTGGTGTTATACAGGGTGTTTTTTAAAACTTACAACTCCTACAAAATTGATGTACGGTGATAATATCCGCTCATAACTTTTTCCTCTTTCGGGCAAGAATGATAAATATTTTTTATTTGGTAGGTGATACCATTTGGAAGTTTTTGGGCCTGTTGTAGAATTTTGTTTAAATGAGCGGTTTCGGTACAAAAAAGTCTTTTTTAAATGTAGGTAGGTATACATTATCTTGCTACCCATGCCATGTTACAATACTCAAACAAAGTGCTAGTAGGGTCTGATTTTATAGGTTGATTTCAGTTTGTTATTGTTTGGTATCATTATTGTTGGCTCTATTATACTACCGAATAGAGACTGGGAAATTTTATTTAGAATTTTTGCAAATCCCGAGTTATTGGAAGACGTGCCGTTATTACTCAGAGCTAACATTGGTTTATGCATGATGTCGCTCCACCACATTTCACTGTAAATGTCCGGCAGTATTTGAACTAAAGATTCACTCGTCGATGGATCGAGAGAGGGAATAATTTCTTGTTAACTGGCTTGTAGGTTCACCAGACTTAACACCTTCCGACTATTATCTGTGGGGCACACTGAACTGAGTTGTGGAGGCACATCCAAAATGCCATAAATGTTTTAAAAAATAGTCCGCAAGAATTGCAAAGTGTGTCCTTTAACTTTCTTCACCGAATTAACTTGTGTTTTAGGTACTGTAATTTTATAAATTGAGTTTATTTTTATTGACTTGTCTGATATCATGCTTATTATTAAATAAATTATTATTATTATTATGATATAAAGCAAACACTGATAATATTTTAGCAATTCATACAAATAAAAAATTCCGACTGCTAGATATTGTTTAGAAATCTCAGTCCTATCGGCTTGGTGTTTGTAAACATTGACAGGCTATTTGACCGAGTCGCCGCTAGCCATCATTCATTCATGATTAGATTGCAAACATGAGAACTGTCCGAATAAGAAGGTATTTTGGTAATTTAATTATTAAAATCACCTATACACAGAGTATTTGTGTATACTTGTAGTGTTTGATTCTTGTCATAATGCATTGTTACAATTCCATCACTTTCGAGTGATTTATTTTATCAAAACTAAAACTATGTAAAAGTGACAGATTAAGTAACATATTTTAAACTTATCGATCACTTCTAGAGTCTCAGTGCAGTAACAACCACATTTTATCCTTGAAGTAGAAAAGATTAGTGTAGAAAAATAGCAACTGCTATGCGATAAGGAAATATTTATATTGAGTGGCTTTAATTCAAAACCCAATAGTTGCGTTTGACTGCGTTTATTAATTTTTCTAAAATAGTTATTAATTACTTCCATTTATAGGTACTCTATACCTACTTATGTTGCTGTGGATGGCATATAAATTTTTGAAACTAGAAATATTGCATTGTGCGTTACAACTGAAATTCATGGGAGTTCAATTTTTAAAGAATATTTTTGAAAATTGAAATAATTTATTAGACTCTCTTAGACTAGAGTAATTATAACATTAAACAGACACATTACTTCAACAGTCTTTATGCATTTGCGAAAAAAAATCAATGCAAAGGTCCGATTGTCCTGAAAAACCAGAATCGACTGACCAGTTAATCAAAACAATAGTAGACAATTTATTACGCTTACAAATTAAAATAATAAAATCAGTAATTAGATAATGGTGGTATGGCGTAAGTGTCTAAAACTTTTTCCCATTCGAGGTACTCCTTTGGATTTTTCTGCATTTCGAGTGTTTTATTGATATTCAAATATACCAAATTGTTCGGAGTTAGCTTTTCCCATATAACGTTATTCAAGACACTGTCTTTTTTAGGAGTTGGATTTCTGAAACGAATGGTTAAAATTATATGAAATGAATTTGATTTTGAGCACAACTACTCACAAACACTTAACAAAGTTTGTCCATAAGGTTAACAAACGCTGCCTTGTTACCAAATCATCTGGATCGTCGGGTGATCCGTCGGATGTTAGCGGTGCGTCCCATAAATAGCCCAATTCTTCGGCGTGACCAACACCTCGCACACCTTAAATTAAATAATGAAATTTTACACCCTTCATATAATCCTATTAAATGGATCTTTAAATCGCAATTTTCATCAACTTGCCTGAATTTTTGATACAAGTTAGTTTGAAGTATATATAGGGTGGTCCGAATTTTATGCAGGAAACTTCGCGGGCAGATAGATCTCTTTAAAATAATATGTGTTTGTCTTATAAACATTGGTCTGGAACAGCTCCGTTTTAGAGATACAGGGTGTTGAAGTTGTTAAAAAAATTGATTTTTTGTTTATATCTTCGGAATCTATTAACCGTTCTCAATAAACTTTGGTACAGATAATATACGATAGTAGACCTTACATTCCCTAAAATATGAGCTTTAAAGGTTCAACCAGTGGTGTACAAGTTTACTGGGGTTACTCCTTTCTTTTACAAAAAACCCACGGCACAGCATTTTTTACAAGTCATTGTAACTGATTTATATTCTAATGCACAAAATACGTAAGAAAGGTTACTTTAATTTTTTTCCCTAAGGTTCGCCGTTCCCAGGTTATTCAAACCAATAAAATCCCCTTGTGGCAGACACTTCTAACCATAATATTATTACAAGAATATATTTTATGTATATGCTTAAAAGTAAATGCAATTTGTAAGCATAACAAAATTATTTACACTCCTTTCTACACTATCTGTGATGTAGTGTTCCTGGCGTGGTTTAGTTTTCCCTGGAGGCCTAATACTCTTTACAAATAAGAACAATTTAAACCAAAATAATAATAAAAATATATTTACCAAGCAACAGCTACTAAACAAGAAACAAAATTAACGTTACGTATTTACAACAATTGTTCAAAATCTTCTAGTAATGGAATTAATTGGAGCTAATATCATGTGGTGGTTTTCTTTATTCATTACACCCATCGTTACATTCATTACACCTATTCGTTGCAGTAGTTGTGGTCTTGCATCTATTGGAGTAGAATAAACTTTCAGATAACCCCAAATATAGAAGTCCATGGGGGTTAAATATGGCAATCTGGCTGGCCAAGACGCTGGACCCTCTGCACCATTATGGTTGACTTTGGCACTTGGTCTTCTACCTATCCATCGCCGCATATAATTTTCATTAAGCCATTCTTATATTATTCTCCCAGAATGCGCAGGAGCACCATTCATTGTATCCAATTATTTTGTCGTATATTTAATGGAACATCCTCTAATAATTCAAATAGATGGTTTTCTAGAAAGTTTAGAAATGACTGGGAATTTAGACGGGGTGGCAAGAAGAAAGGTCCACAAACTTTGTTGCGAATTATTCCGAGCCACACGTTCACAGAAAATTCGTGTTGAATAGATCTTGTCCGAATTTCATGAGGATTTTCTTGTGACCAAATATGCAGATTGTGAAAATTCACTATCCCTCGCCTTTGGTAAACGTACCTCTATTATTATTTTGATTTATGTTGTTCTTATTTGTAAAGATAGTGGCTTAGGCTTCCGGGGGAAACTAAAACGCATAAGGAACTCTACCTCACAGGTGGTGTGGAAACGAGTGTAAAGAATTTTGTTAATGTGAAATATAATTATTGTAATACATGTATTACAATAATTATATTTATGTATGTCGGGGGGTGGTGGAAAATTGCTTTTCTACCGCGGCACTTAGGCCTTACTAGGCCCCTTGTACACCTGCCTTCATTACTCGAGTACTTTTCTTCAAACCATCCTATTACTACACGGGTGCCTTGGTGGCAAAGTCTCGTACAATTTTTATGTATGGTCTTGAGTTTCAGAGATTTATTGCTCTATTCTCATTACCATTTTTATCGATTTTATTCCACGCGCAGGCGGAAGATGTTGAGCGACTCAGGTCTCTGGTAGGCTGCCACAGCCACGTCACCGAGCCTGCCTTAGGTCACCCATCCAAGTTCCAGCCTGCGTAAGTGATGCTTACCTCGGCCGATCGAAATTCATCGGCTAGGCGGTCCCCCTAATTGTAATTTATATTATGGTAAGAAATGTCTGCACAAGGTATTGATGTGAATAACTTGAAAACGGCGAATCTTAGGCGAAAAAATTCAAGGTACCTTTTTTACGTATTTGGGCATTAGACCATAAATGCGTTCCAGTGGCTTGTAAAAAATGCAATGGCATAGGTTTTTTTATAAAAAAGGAGATGACCCCTGCCCAGTTGTACACCACTGGCTGCACCCTTAGAGCTGATACATTAAGGAAAGCAAGGCCCACTGTTATAGATTACCAAATTTTATTAAGATCGGTTAATAGATTCCGGAGATATAAACAAAAATCAGTTTTTTTAATAACTTCAACACCCTGTATCTCTAAAACGGGGTTGCTCCAGGCAAACACATATTATTTTAGAGAGATTTATCTGCCCTCGAAGTTTCCTGCATGAAGTTCGGACCATCCTGTATAATAACATTTTTTTTTTCAACCCCCGGACAGGGGTGAAAAAAGATAAAATAAAGAGTTTGTCAAGATAACTTAAAGGGGGTAAGAGCTAGAAAAAAAGTTTCTTATAAATGTTGTGGAACATAAAATTCTATTTTTGCTAGATAAGGTTAAATCAAACTAAATTAAAATGGCAATAATAAGAAAAATAATTGTATAGCCTCACATCTCCATATTTTTCTGTACAAACCATCACTTTGACTTTATGCACTTAAATTTGTTGTTTTGTGGCAATTTTATGCGATTTTCTGGACACTTACAGAGTTTAGAAATGCATTTAAGAAAACTTGGAACAATTTTGACATTTTGAACATAAATTTGAATTTGTATAGCAGTAGCGGTTCGTGAATCTAGAAATACACTTGATATACCTCAAAACAACTTTCTCGTTGGAGTGAATTATTTGCTTTGTAATATTTTTTTTTAAATTCAGCATAGCCAATCCACTTAACCCTTCTTGCCCCATTATATTTTTGAAAATGTCTTACACAATTTTTAAGAGTTTCAAACTTTCAGCGAAATTAATACACACGTTCCTGTTAATAAACAACTATAATAATCTACCAACAAACTCCTTCACTTTTATGAAAATCTCTATTTTAAAACACTAATCACTTGTAAAAAACTATACAACTAGGGCGACGAGATCATTGAACTTGATTGCTTAAACTTTGCAATTGATTATGATCATAAGGAAGAGACGTGGAAAGAATTCTTATGTACTACGAAAATGTTCTTCTTTCATTTCCTAGCTTTAAGCATGTCTGCTAGCTGCAACATGAAAAATGTTTTAAATGTGTATAAATTCATGGCTAACTTAGAAGTGCTAAGACGATGATGCGAAAACGACATTTCATCACCTCAAAATAATTTCAGGTTCATATTGAGAAAGCCAAAATTAGGGTAATAGAAAATATCCGAGATCCAAATCAGTAAGATTCTTCTTTATAATTTATTATCAAACGCTGGGTTGGAGCAATTAGAAATGTCCCATTTATTTTAATAGTTTATGACTGATTGACATATAACTTAAACTAAAATTGAATGGTTTCATTTACTATTTAATATACTATCCCATTTTCACTCATACAAGTTTGGAAAAACAATACTGCTTGAAATGTATGCTACTGCTTATTTCCATGAACGTTATCGATAACTTTTAATACACTGTTTTGATTTCTTAGTTTTATTTTAAATCAGGGACATGTTAATTTTTTACAAAAGGGTAGTACCTAACACTGTAACTGGATGGATTTGAAAATGAAAGAAGTATGTATATAATAGAAATAGATACGGCATTTTTTTACAATTGAAAGTAACAATTCAAGATAATGTACTGTTGCAACTGCAACTTAATGTTTTAGTAGAAGCTAGTGATTTACTAATTGCTTTACAACTTATTCGATATACAATTTTCAAAATTTCCTAAATAACCAAAAACTTACCTGCAACTTCTGCACCAGCCAAACCTCCCATCTTTCCTTTATACGAGAACTGGTACATATAAACATCGGTATAGCTGGATTGTAATTTTGCGTGCCTAGTACTGGGTGTTGAGAATACTTCGTCGCTGGTGAACTGAAGTAAAATGCAATTTAGTAACAAACCTTATTTTATAGACTCTTGTTCTTGTTTTTAACAGCTGTAACATTACTTTGCACAAAGACTAACTCACAATTTACTTCGATGACTTGGTTAAACCATTTTTTAATTTCAAGTAATGCATTCTGTAGTAGCTTCTTTTTAAAATGGAGTTAAAAAAAATAGGAGATATTTTGAACGTTATATAGCAATATTGTTTCAATGATTATTTGATATTTATAATTGACATTTGAATAGATTATTTTTAATTTTTATTTTGGATAGTAGTTTATGAATATCGAGTTATTTGATTGGTGCATTTAGATATTTGAATATTTAATCGAAGATTTCTCAACGTTATAATTAAAATGTCATTTCTCTTAAAAATTGTATAAAATTGTTTTTAAAGTCTGTATAATCTTGAATTTTTGACAGACAGTCTCTACTGCAGAGAGTAGTAACAATATAAAGTACATCTCACCTTGATCACCGCTGCAATGTCCTCTTGGAATGTTCGATCAGTGTAAATTTGCCTGAGTTTGCGGCCAGCAGCTACTTTGTTTTCTTTAGTCATATTATACTTATTTCCAACGAGATTGGACAAGTCCGTGTCGAAATATTTCGCACGATTTGGAGGTCCCGAAGGAACTGAAACATATTATATTCATATTTGCTTTTGAGTCAAGTAAGAAGTCCATCCCAGAAATACGAAGGACTTACAAACTTAAAGAATTATATTTAGCTGGTGAAAAAGCGAATTTATAAAAATGTATGTTATTAAAAGTTGCCTGGAAGTGGCAGAAAAAATAATTTTTGACAATTAGTGTCACAGGTCTTTTATTATTAATTTAGAATGGGTTGCACTCGGTGGAGGAAAGTGTTTGTTAGTGTACTAGCAGCACTATCGGTACGTATCACTTACAAAAGGAACAGTTTCATACGGAAAATGTAGAGAGTGTATGTTAATATTAATTGTTTCTAAACTATCATTCTTGAACATCTGTGTTTCGTTATTAGTCTGGTGTGGTAAATTTATAGGCTATCCAATATTATTGTTATTACAGCATTCCTGCTATGACAATATGAAGCTATATAATCCCAGTCATATTGTAAATGCCTTTGCAGATTATTTAATGTCACTCATAACAAAGGAGTCCTGCTAGTTTCGTTATTAATCGGGTATGGTAAAATTATAGGCAATCCGATATTATTGTTATTACAGCATTCCTGCTATGACAATATGAAGCTATATAATCCCAGTCATATTGTAAATGCCTTTGCAGATTATTTAATGTCACTCATAACAAAGGAGTCCTGCTAGTTTCGTTATTAATCGGGTATGGTAAAATTATAGGCAATCCGATATTATTGTTATTACAGCATTCCTGCTATGACAATATGAAGCTATATAATCCCAGTCATATTGTAAATGCCTTTGCAGATTATTTAATGTCACTCATAACAAAGGAGTCCTGCTAGTTTCGTTATTAATCGGGTATGGTAAAATTATAGGCAATCCGATATTATTGTTATTACAGCATTCCTGCTATGACAATATGAAGCTATATAATCCCAGTCATATTGTAAATGCCTTTGCAGATTATTTAATGTCACTCATAACAAAGGAGTCCTGCTAGTTTCGTTATTAATCGGGTATGGTAAAATTATAGGCAATCCGATATTATTGTTATTACAGCATTCCTGCTATGACAATATGAAGCTATATAATCCCAGTCATATTGTAAATGCCTTTGCAGATTATTTAATGTCACTCATAACAAAGGAGTCNAACTAATGTTTGCTGCGGTTTATGGAAGGAAGATTTACTCTATCGAAATTTGCTGTATTTTGTTAATTTATTTCAAAGAGTATAAATATTAAGTGCAAGGTGACGTCATATTTACGAATTTTCAAAAAGTTTTCGATCAGATAGGCCACCATATTCTATTGATGAAATTGCATCCGTTTGGTCTCTCAGATTCACTAATCATATTTAAAAAATAGATATTTTATGAAAAGTAGATCAAAATATTACTTCTCTAACCTCAGGTTTTCCACAAGGTTCTAATTTAGACTTTTGGTTTTGTATATGTAAAAATGCAGTTTGTTGATGACCTCAAACTGTATATGGTAATAAATTCATTCGCTGTTCGCCTTCAAATGTGCATAGATCACAGTGTGAACTAGACCAATTGTCTCTTAATATATTCAAATGTGAGGTAATGACCTTTCCTCTTAAAACCTGTGATTATTGTGTTGACGGTATGAACTATAATAAGGATTTAAGGAAACGTTCGATGTTAAGCTTACTTTTATTGACTATGTTAATAATGTTGTGTCGAATGTATTTCGGACTTTTGGGCTTTATTTACTACAACTGTAAAGATTTAAAATTTTTTAGTATTTTCGACAGAAAGGGATCTATCCAACTCAAGGTTTTAGTCATGAGGACTTTCTGAATCGTTTTAGTATAGAATCTCTAGATATAGGTACGTCGTAATGAGTCACTGATTCGCTTTCTGGACAATAAAATTTATTGAGTAAAATATATTTTCGTATTTTGAGAGATAAGTTCTATTTGATTATGACATGCCTAGAACAAACTTATTAACTAATTGGAAGTTTCACGATTACTAATTGATCATTTTTAATATTGTGAATGTAATATATTTTGTAATTATTCCTAAAATTAGGTTTTACCTGTTGTTATAACGTTTATTATTATTTATTATTATTGTCTTATTACATCTAATAGGGTTGTATGACGTACATTAAGGGATGGTCAACTGTATCTATTTCATACCTAAAGAATCAACGTTATGATACAAGATTATTCTTTATGTGTAGACATTTCAATTATAGTCCAGTTGGTAGAGGTACGGCCTGTGTCAAACCTTGATAACCCGGAAATAACTACACAGGCCTACTTTAAATGATGAGTACAATAACAGTCTAATTTGCTGACAAAGTATTTTATCAGAAAAAAAAGTAATTAACAATTTAATCGCGAAAAAAAAATTTTTTAGAAGTTTTCTTTAAATAACTCAGCGGGATGACTTTGTACGAACAAATGCTTAGGATATGATTTTGTTCGTAATAAAAATTGCTACAAAATGGCGGTGGTCCGATTACGAAATTTGCAATAACAAAGCCTTGAGATTGAAAAAACGGTATAAAACTTCAATTCTTTAAAGTTGCTGTAAAAATGTCAATTATAAACAAAAAGTGATAAAACTTTCGAAAACTATAGTTCAATATATATACAATAATGACGCTAAAGCCGAAAATCAGGAGAGCAAAACTTTTTGTTCTATAAGGTGTTATACATTCATCGGCATCTGAAACTCGAAACTTTGCCAAATTTGTTCGAAGCTTTGCTGACACTTGAAATTTGGTACACACATAGTGTAAATATGCAGAAACCAAAAGCAATTTGCAAAATTCAAGTATCTTCATTTTTGCAGTTTTGGTAAGGTTTTATACGTCACCCTAGTTTTATACGTCACCGTTTTTTTAATTTTTGGACGTATATTTATGTATATTTATAAAATATTCCATTACGGTAGATTAGCCAGCATAATTACCTACAATTTAAAAAAATATATATTTTCATCGTTTAGATCCTAAGCTACTTAACATTTTGCGCCTGTTAGCCGTAGTCGTACATTATTCAACATATCAACATAAAACAAAATCGTACGTGTGGGGTAAACCTTTAACTTTAAGTAAACAATTGTTTAAATTTACTGTTGCATATTTCTAATAGTATACAAGCGCCGAAGAGCGGAGCTCGCGCTCGAAAATGAAAAGTTAAAGGTTTACCCCACACGTACGATTTTGTTTTATGTTAATATGTTGAATAATGTACGACTACGGCTAACAGGCGCAAAATGTTAAGTAGCTTAGGATCTAAACGATGAAAATATTTTTTTTTTTAAATTGTAGGTAATTGTGCTGGCTAATCTACCGTAATGGAATATTTTATAAATATACATAAATATACGTCCAAAAATTAAAAAAACGGTGACGTATAAAACTAGGGTGACGTATAAAACCTTACCAAAACTGCAAAAATGAAGATACTTGAATTTTGCAAATTGCTTTTGGTTTCTGCATATTTACACTATGTGTGTACCAAATTTCAAGTGTCAGCAAAGCTTCGAACAAATTTGGCAAAGTTTCGAGTTTCAGATGCCGATGAATGTATAACACCTTATAGAACAAAAAGTTTTGCTCTCCTGATTTTCGGCTTTAGCGTCATTATTGTATATATATTGAACTATAGTTTTCGAAAGTTTTATCACTTTTTGTTTATAATTGACATTTTTACAGCAACTTTAAAAAATTGACGTTTTATACCGTTTTTTCAATCTCACGGCTTTGTTATTGCAAATTTCGTAATCGGACCACCGCCATTTTGTAGCTATTTTTATTACGAACAAAATCATGTCCTAAGCATTTTTCCGTACAAAGTCATCCCGAGTTATTTAAAGAAAACTACTAAAAAAAGTAAAATTTTTTCACGATTAAATTGTTAATAATTTTGTTCATTGATAAAATACTTTGTCAGCAAATTAGCCTGTTATTGTACTCATCATTTAAAGTATCCCGGTGTAGTTATTTCCGAGTTATCAAGGAAATGTCACCAACAGTAACTTTTTGGCCTCTGCCGACTGGACTATTAGCTACTTCCAAATTTTCAACAGCAAGACCGTTTTGCTGTAATGTTATTCTCGGAACTTATATTTTATTCACAATGGAATTTCCAAGAGCGTCGATGGGCTGGCATTGAGAACAATGTTTAACTAAGATGTTTTATACTGAATGTTAAACATTATTTGTACTTTTTAAAAAATGATATACTTAGTTGTTCTTCTTGAAAATGTACCTCAGAGAAAGTGATATTTATATTATGGAGGTCTTCCTTAAGACTCTCATTTTGTACAATATCATTTAAATACTGAATTTCCTGATAGGTACAATGTCCTGCTCGTTCTCCGGTCGTAAATCTCTTACATTTTTATTTCTGGGAATATATACTATAAGATCAAGACACGTCAATGGTGTTGAGGAACTTCAGATTCAAGTCACTACGTAGACTATTAGGCTAATTTTGTAAATGTGCCCGATTTTTTAATTCGATGAGTTTGTTTATATTTTGGTGGAAGGGGCACCATCGATCACTTACAGTGATGTGTCATGTGAGCGTATGATTTGAAATTATTTCTTTATTTTAGTAGTTTTGAGTATGTTTGAACTTCCTTATTACGTAAGGTCAGTGCTTGTTAAAACCTTTTGCGCGACATAGTGTATAACTATAATAATAGATTTGTCTTTAAAAAATAAGTCCAAAGTTTCTAGATACCCTATTAAGGGTTCTATAGAGTTTAACAGCTACTCTAGGCGTCTAATACAAAGAAGAAGAAATTAGAGTAGCATTTTATAGGAGCCATTTTGTAATTTTATTTTCTAAAGTGTTTATTTGAATAATTGTGTCTCTTACTTGCTGATGCAACCAACAGATATTCCTCAGAGTTGAAGCCAATAAGTATAGGCACTTGGTTGATATTTCCCGTCCTAAAAGGTTCATAGAAAGAAGTCGTCAGGAATGCCCCTTCCAGATGAGGGTCCTCTATCACGGGCAGCCATATTTGACCTTCACCCTCGACCGATGACGTTTGCTTTCCTGGTGCAGTCTATAAAATTATTTTCTGTTCATAATGAATTACATGCAATATTAATTTGACTTACAGTGACGGAGTTTTTGGTCAGTTTGGAAGCTGGAGTTTTTTGCAACAACTTGAGTAATTCCTTTGAGTCGTTTGATTTGAAATTCGGGTCCAAACTTCGTCCCAATTCGAAGGCGTAAAATCTAGCAAAATCTTGACGTGTCCATTTTGCTACCGCAGTACCACTTTGCAATATGGCAGCTCTGAATAACCCTTGAAAGTATAACTTTTTATGTACTTTTGCCAGTGAAACGTGCAAAATATTTCTTACCTTTGTTTTTTGGACTTATTATGTGCAATCCCACAGCAGCTGCTCCGGAACTCTCGCCTGAAATTGTTATTTTTTCAGGGTCTCCACCGAACAAATGAATGTTCTTCTTGACCCATTTTAAGGCAAAATGTTGATCTTTCATCCCCAAGTTTCCTGGTATGACCCCGTCCTCCGTGGTAAGAAAACCTTGAAAAATAGAATAGAATAGAATAGAATAAAAAACAGAATAAAACTAGTTTTTTTCCGATTAACTTGATGCCAGCATTAATAAGTATCTAATTTCGGCTATACACATGCGTTTCAAAAGTCATTAGATTTGATATACCAGTTGAAAATAAAATTATCCAATTATTTTCGACATAAAAACGATTTTTCGTGTGTATTGTATAAAATTGCTTCTTTTCAAACAATGTATTTGGTGCCAAAATTAAAAGAAGGTCCAACCCATTGGCAATATACAGGGTTACAACTTTTTAATTGTCCTATACAGATATCCTTATTTTAAGAGTTACAGCAATGGACAAAAGTGTGCAGAATTTTATGGCGCTCACGGACCCGTTTTTAAATTTAGAAAGTTCCGAATAAATATTCGAAGAAATCTGGTGCTATGCTTCTTTTTGTAGTATTTCACTTGTTTTTCAAAATTTTGGACAAAAATATGTAGTCTGATATTAAATGATTTTTGCTGTCAGTATTGACGTATCTGTCTTAATTTATAGAAAAACTCAAATGTTTCACATGGCTACTTGACTTTTTTAATAAAATTATAATTATACTCAATATGTTGGTTATTTATTTATGAAAACCCCATGAATTATACATCGTTGTAAAGAGAATTACCCCTTTCTTCAAATGAGGCAAACAATTCAATATTGCGTTCATAAAAAAAGGAAACTACCGCTCAGTATACATTTTTAGAGATACTTTAATACTTACAGCAAAAATCGATTTCTCACAACATTTAATATAAGACTACACATTTTTGTTCAAATATTTTGAAAAACAAGCGAAATACAATTAAAAAAGAAGTAGCATAAAATCGGTTTTCTTCGAATATCTACGGAACTATTCGGAATCATCTAAATTTAAAAACGAATCCGTGATCGCGATAAAATTCTGCAGATTTTTGCCCATCTAACCATTTCTGTAACTCTTAAAATAAGAAAGGTACCTGTATAGAACAATAAAAAAGTTGTAACTCTATATTGTATTTCGAAAATTGTTAGATATGGTATACTAAAAGAAAGCCAATAGTTTTCGACATAAAAACGATGTTTCGTGTGTGTTCTAATAGTAAAGAAATATTTTTTACATTCTATTTTAGCTGGTGTTGAATGATATTCTAATAGGTAGGTATATGTTAGACATTTTTACTTGTAGCCACCAGGTGTCGCTAAAAGTGCTTAGAATTTCGATAAATTTATGTCAAGTTGTTGTTTCTGTTTAATATACAGTGAAACAAAAAAATGCTTTTATCCCGAATAGTTTTGGGGTTTGGCATTCAATTACTAAAATATTCATTTCATTTTCAAAATGTAAATTATAAAAGATACCACTAGTAGGTTGCAACTAGCTCCCTCTACTTTTGAATATAAAATAGCATTTTTTTTTAATTTCTCGCCTAATAAATATATATTTTTTAATTTCTAACTTAATTGAAGAAATTACTTTTGAAATGTTATCAAATTTAGATTTTTTAAATCCTAAAACAAGGAAGTAAAAAAAAAACAAAAATTGAATAAAAAATGTTTAGATGAATCTATTCAACATTAAATGAATACTTTGTGTATTTACTACTTAGCAAACAGCAGATTTAAAAATAAAAGTAAAATCAAGAAAAAGCATATTTTAAAAAGGAATCTGATTGCAAGCAGTGCTTATAGCTATAGAAATTAGTCTCGTAGTATAGAACTGTAGTATAGAGATTATTATACCTAAGAAAAATAGAAAGAAATACCTAAAACAGCCAGTCGGTAGTTCATTGTGACAACAACGATATTGTGCTCCACGTAGAACTGAGGTTTGAATATTTGAACAACACCAGATCCATATTCATATCCACCTCCATGTATCCAAACTATTACTCCTAAAGGAGCTTTTGATGAATCTCCAGGTTTCTAGAATCAGATACATGTAACTAAATAAACATAAGTTAAATAATTTTTTATGTATCACTATTTTGAATATTATAGTTTAATTTATTTTAATTGATAATTTAATATTAGCTAATCCATAACTTCAACCATAATTTTTACTCTCATTTATGTTTTTTTGTTTTCCGGTCCTTGATTCTTACCAAACGACTCGTATGTAAAAATCAGAGATCGGATGTCACAGGTCAGTGACTCAGTGACTTTATACCAAGCACTTGAACACACACCAAATATAAATACCGACACGAGAACTTAATCTGTAACAAATCTATATTTTTTAAATATCATCCAGTCTTACCTGTGGCGTGAAAACATTCAGATACAAACAGTCCTCGCTCTCCGTTGTGTTGGGAATTACGAAAGAATCTGTCTTGTAACAAATTTTTGTATTTTTTGTGGTATCCAATACTCCCTTCCATTTCTGGTGCTCTGTTGGTGGCTAAAATTCAGAAGTTATGTTATTAAAATACTAATAATACCTATGAAATTACCTTAAATCTTAATTCTCCGACAGGTGGCGCTGCGTACGGAACTTCTTGAAATGCGTAATAAACTTTGCCATTTGGAGAACGTAGTTCGTGACCCTTTATTTGGCCCTCTGGTAGAGTGACCAGTGTAGGATCTTTCCCCTAAGTAGAAAAAAATATACTGTATACAATATTTTTATATACAACACAATAACAATCGTTATCACAACAAATAAATTAAACAGAAAATGTATAATCAATTAAATACAAGTCAGCCAAAGGGCATCAAATATCTCATTATTTATATTATTTCAAAATAAATGATTGTGTAACGAAACCCAAAACGAGTTGCACCAGTTACATTTAGGTGTTTATCATAAAGAAAACAATTCTGCAAGTGGAATAAAACTTGTATTACAACTTAATAAATTTGGTTATCTCAGACTTTGTTAGAGTATTCATTTCAATATTCCTTTTATAAAATAAAAAAATATATATTTTTCTATTTAAATTATTACTACTACTACTAAGTATTCGATTTGAAGTACCTATATTAATTTGTTTGCAAAAAATCATTTCTATAATACCTGTAAAACTTATCAGTACCGTTTTTACTTCAAAATTGTATACAAAGTTACCTATATTATAAAATAGTGACTAGAATACAATACTTACATATGCTACAGATAAACTTATTTCACATAAAACAAATATAATCACCTTTCTACAGTCCATCTTGAATTATAATAACGTAAACAACATGTTCTTCACTCCTATATATACCTTCATATGGAACAGACACTAAGGAAATTCCTTGCATGAGATTGGTTCATTATTATCGGGTTTAACGTTTCGCGGTACGTCGAGCTTTTCGCTGAAGTATAATTTATTAATTTACAATTTAGTTTTCAAACGATAGCAATTACTGAACACCATATTTTAAAACGGTTGCAATTTGCGATTTGGCGAGACATATGTTATGATAATTGACAATTGCAATGAAGAGAAAGTTGGCTGAGGCCATGAATATCCAGTTTCGTATTGACGAGTATTAAGACCTATACTACAGAGGAGACAAATGAATATCAAGATGGTAAAGATATCGAAATTATTACTTTTATACGCATTTGGTTTTTTACGGAAATTGTGTATCATATAAAGTTCTTAGAAGCCATTAGTCAGTTGTTGTTTCTAGGTGGTCTCGTCACAATCAGTACGTTGTGTTTCCCCATTTGTTTTGGTGATATTATGTAAATAAACATGATAACATCGGAATTAAGGCATGTTAAATATTTTTAAAAACAAGTACTTGCGACAACGCGATGTTAAGATAGTAACTTTCCACATAAACACGGCCCGAGCTGATTTAATAAATAATGTTAAAATGCATGTTAAAAAACACAATTAAAAAAATAGCATTGAACTCGAAACTTTCAAAACTCTCTAAGTTATTTCTCTAAGCTTCAGATCAGAGGCAGACATGTACAAACGTGAAAATATACATCTGAGATTATTAAGAAACCTAGTGATTTTTTTAATCAAAGAGATGTCAGCACACATTGTTCGTTTAACGATGAGACATAGGCTGTTCAGGTTAATATTTCCATTAAGAAAAATAGCTGGGAAGTTTTGGTATCTTTCCAAATTGAAATCTTGAAATTTTTTAAAAATAATCAATCAAAATAATAAATAAATAATCATTTTTATTTTCATTTCATTCACTTTAGATTCGAGATACCCTTTTCCTGATGCGAAATTCTGGTTGATGCTTTATTACCATTAGTAAATTGTGGAAATATTTAATATCCTAATTTGTAATTTTTTCGTATTAAATAAAAGAAGAAAAATAAAAACTTAAAAATTAACTTAATATATTTACTACAGAAATGATTTGCATAAGTAGAATAACAAGTTAAAAATACACATACAGACAACGTGATATGTATATTTATTAAACATATTTCACATATAAATAATGTATGGAGTGTATTTATTGTATTGAAATTAAATTTATTGAATTAAAATTGTCTTTATTTAGGATTAATGTGGGTACTTGTGGCATTAAAGAGTTTTCTTTTTAGATCTGCTTTTTCAGAATAATTTACCTAATATTACCATTGTTTTTTTAAGATGCAATATCGCATATCCGAAAAGAAAATATATAAGTAGTACCTACTAAAAGAAAAAAAGGGAAATGGATTCAAGGAGTTCATTAATTTTTAATAATTATTATGTAGTCATGCGAACAAATTGGTTGTACCATTTCCGATTTCAAAAAATAAAAGGTCATCAATAGTTCTGAAAATACTACAGACTGGCAATTTCCATCATTTTTTTTCAACGCCTCCTTAACGACACGTTAGTGTCAATAATTTTTTTAAATGAAGGATTATATTTTTTTTATTTCATCACGAAGATAATTTTTTTCTGAAACTAATAATATATCTTGATTTTTGAGAAAACTTTACAGGAAAAGTATATATAAATTAGTTTTAGAGCTCTGATAAGGGGTAAATGTCATTAATAGTAGAAAAGCTTTACCAGTCACGTGACATAATATACATGTTTTTTGCGTTTAAACTTCTTCACTAAATATAATATCATGAAATTAACAAAAAAAAGCCTCTTATTCAGTACATCAGAAGGAGTATAAACTTTACAGTATTTCATTTGTACCAAACATATGCTTGACTTACCTTTGGTAATGCATAATAAAGACTTGACCTCTTATCTGACTTTCCGGTAAAGTATTCTGGTCCAGGTTAAAAAGGGTTTTTAATTCTTAAATAGACTTTTTAGGTGAAAAAAATATTAGTTTCGCCAAATTTTATGTCGAACCTGATTGAACGTATCGGGTTTCAAAAATTTTAGAGGGGGCTCAGCTATATATATATATATATATTATGCTATGCATTGATCAGTGACTTCATGTTTGCGAATATTTCAGGGTGGGGACACGAACCCTTTACCCCGTAGTCGACGCCTAGCATTCAACAGAAATTTTAGTAATATACCACATTGTAATTACAGTATTTACTGCTACATATAAACTAATACCACTTAAGTTTATAAATAATGGTGTTTATTTTTACTGGAAATTAATTGTGTTTAAAATACTGTTCAATTTGTATAAATGCATAAAGGTAACTATTCTTTAATGCTTTATTTAATTTTTACCCAATAGTGACATGGATTAGTAAGATACATCAAGTATATTCTATTTTTTATGCTATTTTGTTTGCATGTTTTGTTTAATTGCAACAGTTTTACTCATAAAACTTGGAGTATATAATTCAAGTGGCGTGCCTTGGAAAAAGGCCGACCCTATCTTCCTTGAGATGCTGTATGTTGTGCCTACCGTACCGATGGGGTCTATTTTGACTGTACGTACTAGTATATAAGAAAGATGTTGCCAGACATTCCTCTCTTCTTTGTTATGTGTAAAAAAGTTGTTTGCGTTTGATGTACAGAAAGATAATTGGAAGGGTCAAATGCCCTGGGATGGAAAGATCAATTGAATTATCAACTAAAACGATTTATATTTATATTTACAATTTTTTATCCTTAAAATTATAAAATCAATAATTAGATAGTGGTGGTATGGCATAAGTATCTAAAACTTTCTCCCATTTGAGATACTCCTTCGGATTCCTCTTCATCTCCAGCGTTTTGTTGATATCCAAATACACCAAATTGTTCCGAGTTAGTTTTTCCCATACAACGTTATTCAGAAGACTGTCTCTTTTAGGAGTTGGATTCCTGAAACAAATCATGTACAAACAGTTTTTGCAATCATTTGAGCATAAGACTCACAAGTACTTAACGAAGTTCGTCCATAAGGTTAGTAAACGCTGCCGGGTTACCAAATCTTGCGGATCATCGGGCGAACCATCAGAAGAAAGCGGTGCGTCCCATAAATATCCTAATTCTTCAGCGTGACCAACACCTGTCACACCTATCACAAAAATAATAACATATAAGACAGTCAGACCACTTGGACAAACGAAGAAGCAATGATTATCGTGATTTAGGCATAAGGTTGCTTTTGAATATTACAATAGAATCATTAGAAACATAACTTTTTCAGTTTCAAATGATACTACCCCCAGAAGGCCAAAAAATTAAATGATAATTTTTAAGGTTTTGATGAAAGCTGAAGGTATATGGTATGTTTGGTTTGGTTTTGCAAATAATGGTTGTTCACTCAGCCAAAAAGAATAAAGGTTAACACCCTAACAATGGTTGGAGAACGAATTTAAACTGTCACTGAATTACTCTCTTGGCTGCTTTTGTTAGTGAAATTATCAATAATCTCGAATCGTACCAGAAAGTAAGGGAACCAAAATTAAACTTATTATTCATTGCTTTGCAACTTACTCGATGCATCTCAATTTCTCAAAATAACAGAAAATTTACCTGCAACTTGCATCCCGTTTAAGCCTCCCATTTTACCCTTGTAGGAAAACTGGTATAGATAAACATCAGTATAGCTCGACTGCAGCTTAGCATGTCTAATGGTGGGCGTTGTAAATACTTCATCGCTAGTAAACTGATACAAAACAAAATATGAGTAACAAACTTTATTTCATAAATTCCTCTCCTGGTTTCTAACTGCTGGGATATCAGTTTGGACAAAGACCAAAACTGTTCAGTCACAATGACTTGGTTAAATAATTTCTGCACTTTAAAAATTAATTTCCAACTTGCTTTCTTTTCAAATGGAATCGATGTGAATATAAATAGATGTTATCATTATTGAGCAGTGATGTTACAGCTGTGAGAAACACCATATGAGATATTTTCATTGAAATATATGTATATGCTTTTTCATTAGTACGTGCTATGTGGATAAATTATTTTTAATTTTTTTATTCTAGATAATTGTTAATGACCAATTTGTATATGTTATTTCTTTAGAACATCTACTAGTAAGTTTTTGGAATCAAAGAAAATACGTGACATTTTATGATGATAACATTTTAAAAATAATTTGAACTAGCTCGATGCCTTTAAAGTAAAATAGAAGTGAAAAAACCATATTAAAGGATTTAAAATTTAATAATCAAATATGCTATATTCCATATTAAATAAAGGCAATAATACTTTTTAAAATGTATATTATATTAGCTGTCGTATTTTTACTTTATTGTAATAGTTATTTATGGTACTAGTGTGTTACGATATATACAGGGTCGGAAAGTCCCCATGGTTCATCAGCCGTTACGTGAGAGCGATAAAGAAAATCATAGAAATCCGTGCGATAGAGAAAGATGGCTATAATGAAAGCGTCTAATAGTCACCGCCCATTTCGCCCTTCTACAAATAAAATCCACTTCTTATTTGTGGACTTTCCGACCCTGTATAAGTCAACCTGGGAAATTTTCCCAGTCACTTGGGAATACAACACACGAGTGTCACACAAAGTTGTATCCAACACTTTCATAGAATTTCGTTTTAATAATAAATAAAAGTAACTTAAAATTTCAAGTTGTCAACGTCAGAAAAAGTAATTTAACGAAATGAATGTATTTTTAAATATTACAAAGAATGCGAGTGTCAACCTAAATTGTGTCTGTAACCAAGGGTTGCCAGTAAACAAACAATATTTTTTGAGTTGAAATCACGTTTAAATCCTAAAACCAAGACTGAAAAAATGGAAAATGTGGAAATTCTATCTGAAATTTTAGAAAAAGCTAATGCGGCTACTGCAGGCGTCATTCCGGAGAAATTAAAATCTAGGTATATACAACAAAGAACTAAAGGAATTTCAAGATTGGAAAATCAAAGAAGGGGTGAAAGGCGTAAATGAAGATGTCTTGCTGGCTTATTTTTTCAATTTAAGTGAGAAATTAGCTCCATCCACAATGTGGTCTAAATATTCCATGTTGAAGTCAACTTTGAGAGTATACAAGAACATTGAAATTTCTAAATTCGAAAGACTAGTGGCATTTCTAAAGTCTAAGCACAAACATTTTCAACCAAAAAAATCCAAGGTCTTGGAAAGAGAACAAATCGAACAATTTTCTGAACAATAACTGAGTTATATTTATTAAATTTGTTGTTTTTAGGTGGCGCTGATATTAGGAGCTTTTGGCGCTTGCCGTTGCGAGGAATTGACCCATCTAAGCATAGACAATATAAAGGACAAAGGGCAGTATATCCACATCATGATTTCAAATACTAAAACGAAGAAACCTAGAAGCTTCGCTGTATTAATTGAAGGATTTTGTGTTAATCCAATTGAATTAATTAGAAAATATTCTAAGCTAAGGCCTCAAAATGTGCAGCATAAAAGGTTCTTTTGCAATTTTCAAAAGGGAAAATTTACACGTCAATGTGTTGGTATTAATAAGCTATCAAAAATCCTAATATTGTTGCGCGATTTTTGGGCTTGACAGATATACAGGGCATGGCTTATGTCGCGCATCTGCTACTCTCTTGGCCAATGCTGGAGGGGATATTACAACACTCAAACGCCACGGTGGATGGAAGTCATCTACCGTGGCGGAAGTTTATATAGAAGAGTCAATTTCCAGCAAAATTGATATTAATAAAAAGATTCAAGGGATGCAGACTCCTGAAGCAAGCACAAGCAAAGGGGAAACCTGTTCTACAAATTTACCACAATCGCAAAATAATTCCAATAGTCCTTTGGCATTAAATTACGGCTTTACCATAAATGTTAACGTTAATATTAATAAGTAGATCGATTGTAAGTTTGTAGCATTTTAGGTTATTGTTGACTTATTACTGTTTCAAATTTGTTTTCTAATAAAAACTAGAAAAATAAACCAAACGTTTGTCTTTTTATGATTTCTATAAGTCACTAGTGGGTTATAAGTCATAACTTACTAGTGACTTATGACTTATAACTCACTAGTGACTTATAGGCCACATTATTCCTTTAAAACCAAATAAATCATAGTATCATTATAGTTAGTAGTTGGATAAAGATATTAAGCTAATTCAATTAAATTCATTTTTTTTTCTAAAACTCCAATCAAGTGAAGTCAAACAGTGTTTTTCGGTACCAAAAGTCTAGGAGAACAAAATATATCTAATTTCATAGACATGATACTCGACTGATAATATAGCTGGAAACAACTACTCTATGTACCCCACTTAGCATTGAATTATACCAACAATATGTAATAAAAATCAATTAATAATTATCTAAAGTAAGAAGTATTATTAATATAAAAACACAAACCTGACATATTGAAATTGTTAAATAATGTATTTAGTCAAAGAAGTATCTAATATTCTTATACTCCAATCGAATTTATTGCACTTTATGACGGAAAAGGGTATGTAGAACGATAATATCAAAAAAGTAACTCGAAAGAATGGACGCTCAAATTGAAAATAAGTGGCAATTTTACGTATTTTTTCACTTTTTTACTCCCCCCAGAAAATCTAGATAACCTATCGGAGTATAAGTTATTTTTGTTGTAGGCAATTAAGTTACCTACGATTTATGGTACCTAGAGTCATTTTTCACTAATTTGTTACCTGTAAAATAAAGGTCGAATGCGAAAATATCTGTTTTCAAAAATTGCGCATTATATTTGCAAAAAGCGATGGGTGTTGATGAAATTTATGGAAAAGACGGTCAATCCAATGATCAATGTGTGTGCCAAACACTTTGCAACTAATTGTTTAATTACTAACGTTAACATTAGAAGTATAATACCGTATAATAAAAGTTTAACCCTTTCTTTAATCGTCTCTAAAATCCCGGTCCGATATGTCCAATAGTTAATTAACAATTAACGTTATAAAAAAGCTATCTTGCAAACAAAGGGGGTAGGTGATTTATTTTTGAATTACCTTAAAAATAAGCTCTATCCAATGCAAAAAGAGCGAATTCCCGAGCGGCTTTTGTCTGACCCTGGGACAATTTGTTTATAACGCTTTTACAGTTAACAAATTAGTGAACAATGACTCCAGGTACCTTAAATTGTAGCTAATTTAATTGCCTACAACATAAAATAACTAATACTCCGATAGGTCGTCTAAATTTTCCTAGGCAGTAATAAAAGTGAAAAAACTTATTTGCAATTTGCCAACATAGCGTCACTTCTTTCGAGTTACTTTTTTGATATTATCATTCTGCATACCCTTCCCCGTCATGGAGTGCAAGAAAATGTCTACTAACAATTTTTTCAAGTTTTCGGGTTTTATAATCTAATTCGATTGGAGTATTATTGTTCTAACATCATCCTCGGTAAAGACCAACTCGAAAAATAGCCACGAAATAAAGATTACTATTTACATAGGGCTGCTTTTTAAGTTGCCTCCTCACAAATGGAGTTAATAAATGTTAACAGAACAATACAAACTGAAAAACTTGTCGAAAATGCTAACACCTGACTAAAATTCAGTTAACACATTATAATTTGTTATTAATTTTTTAATAAACTTATTCCAGAACATTATCATCTAGATATACAAACTGAAAAACTTGTCGAAAGTGCTAACACCTGATTAAAATTCAGTTAACACATTATAATTTAATTATTATTTTTTTAATAAACTTATTCCAGAACATTATCAATTAGATTTTCCCTCATTTCTCTTACTGATTTTAGAAAGTTACCTACCTTTAAAATTTTTATAGAATATTTCCTTTTTTTCTCGAGAAATAATAATATACATATTTACTATTAAAAATAAAAATAAAATGAAATACCTCACCTTGATCACTGCTGGGATGTCCTCTTGAAATGTTCGGTCAGTGTAAATTTGTCTGAGTTTCCGACCAGCAGTCACTTTGTTTTCTTTAGTCATATTATATTTATTTCCAATGAGACTAGACAAGTCTTTGTCAAAATATTTCGCCCGATTCTCGGGTGCATTAGGTTCTAAAACATATATTACACAAAATCCTGCTTTTGCTGCTTTTAAAGACAAACATATGTAATTGAATCTCACCAATAAATATTTAATTATTATTGGATTACATTGAACTTAATAACTTTTATAGGTATCTGATATGGAAATATAAATTTACTCCATTTTGGCATATGATACTCGCATTGCTGAGTTTAAATTTCAAGAATTATCAAATCGTTTTCATATACAGGGTTGCCCATCGAAAACGTACCGCAAGGCATTACAGGGTAGTAAAAAACTTTTCGGCAAAATCCAAAAACAGGTCAAATTTGTTTCTGAGGGGGACAACTTTTGGCTCAAAAAGCGTACCAAAATCTTCAACCCCCTAAGTGGGGGTGCTATCCCCTAAATTTTTTCAAATGGGAATGGGGGTCAAGTGGGGGGTCATTAGAAAGGGCTTTTAATTCTCTATACATCGATTCTTACTTTTTGAAAATCGATTCATTATTTTAGAAAATATGCAGCTTTGAAAATACGAACAATATTTTTGACGAGAAATGCGAAAATCGATTTAATTTTACTTCAAAACTTACGGTATTAGTCAAGTAAATGCTGAAAATGTTGTCCGCCAACTTGCATACAATGATACAGGTTGTCTTCAAACCGTTGTCGAACATTCTGGAGCACTTGCGGTGTTACTTCGCGACATACATTAATGATTCGTCCTCGCAGATCTTCCAAGGTATCAGGTGGAGTGCTGTAAACTTTGCTTTTAATGTGCCCCCAGAGAAAGAAATCTAAAGGATTTAAGTCGGGTGACCGAGGGGGCCACTCAATTGCACCTCTTCGTCCTATCCAGCGTCCTGGAAACGTCTCATTTAGGTAATTGCGCACATTGAGCGAGTAATGTGGAGGAGCTCCGTCTTGCTGGAAAATCAGTTCGTGTTCATTGTAAGCAGGGTCGTCCTCTATGATATTTGTTAGAGCTGGGTCGATGACATTTTGTAGTAAATCCAAGTACATATCGCCTGTCAAATTTCCAGGAAGGAAAAAAGGACCTACAATGGAATTTCCAAAAATACCTGCCCATACATTCAACTTCTGGGGGTGTTGGGAGTGTGTCTCATGGAAAATCCTTGGATTGGTATCAGCCCAGTAACGACAATTATGGCGATTCACTAAACCATTCAAGAAGAACGTACACTCGTCCGAAAAACACACATTAAAGAGGAAATTATCGTTTATCGCTCGTTCAGTCATTATTTCGCAAAATTGCAAACGACGATCAAAATCGTCTTCATTTAGCTCTTGCACTAGCCGAATCTTATAAGGATGGAATTTGTATTTTTTTAATATTCGTTGGACACTTGTACGACTCACTCCTGTCGCAGTAGCCAATTGCATTGTACTCAGCGTACTATCCATTGCCACTTGCCCCAATACCGCTATTTCCGTAGGTTCATTTAGTACCGGATTTTCAACCTGCCTCTTTTTGTTATGAACGGAGCCAGTTTCGCGAAATTTGGCCACCAATTCGCGAACAATTTTTCCAGACGCATGTTTCTCAGGATGCCGTTGGTTGAACAGTTCGGCGACCCGATTTCCGCATTCATTGTTTTTGAAAAAAAGCTCAATAATTTCTACTCTTTCTGGAATTGAGTACACCATAATTAATCAATTTAAAAGACTCGGCAGTATTGGTACTCTTCAACTACAAGTCACAAGACAGTTATCTAGCAACTTCTTGTGGCCTATCTAAATACGAAACAAAAAGCGGACAATTTTTTGCTCACCAAAATCAGGCTAAAGAATTCGCAAATCAAAAAAAAAAACAGCGAATTCTTTTGAAGGAATTTACCAAGCTAATACCGTAAGTTTTGAAGTAAAATTAAATCGATTTTCGCATTTCTCGTCAAAAATATTGTTCGTATTTTCAAAGCTGCATATTTTCTAAAATAATGGATCGATTTTCAAAAAGTAAGAATCGATGTATAGAGAATTAAAAGCCCTTTCTAATGACCCCCCACTTGACCCTCATTCCCATTTAAAAAAATTTGGGGGATGGCACCCCCACTTAGGGGGTTGAAGATTTTGCTATGCTTTTTGCGCCAAAAGTTGTCCCCCTCAGAAGCAAACTTTTCTGGCAAACCTGTTTCTGGATTTTGCCGAAAAGTTCATTACTACCCTGTAATGCCTTGCGGTACGTTTTCGATGGGCTACCCTGTATGTATTTCTACTCGAATTTTTGTTTCTTACCTAAAGCACCTAGTAAATATTCCTCAGAATTGAAGCCAATGAGTATAGGTACTTGGTTTATATGTCCTGTAGTAAAAGGTTTATAAAAAGAAGTCGTCAAGAATGCTCCTTCTAGATGAGGGTTTTCTATCACAGGCAACCATATTTCACCTTCACCTTCGATCAATGAAGTTTGCTTTCCTGGTGCAGTCTACAGAAATTATTTTCTCTTATCTCTCTATTCTTAATGTTTTTCGGTTAGATTTACAGATTCTTTCATAACAAACCATACATAGTGCAGTGCTAGAGTAGGGTCACTTAGACGAATACCAATTGACTTGGAAAATTCTCTTGTCAAAATTTGATAATATTGGGTCATTCATGAACTTTCAGTAAAATTTAATTTAGCTGTAGCTATTAAACCATTTGAGGTAATTCATTGATTTTTGGTATACACAATATGCCAGTGAAGAGCAACAGATCCTCGAAGAATTCCAAATACATAGAAAATTTACCTTTGTATGTATATTTTATTCACTGTTTCATATGGTATATTGAAGGTTTACTTATATAAATCAGTAACAAAACATTTGCATTTGATATTACTCTTACATTTTTCTCGACTGTTAACGTAACAATGAAATTTAGTTAACATATATTGTTTTAATCATCTTTTCAGTATTATTTTAACAACGAGAATTGTTCTAGCTAATATTTTCATATTTCAGTTTGATAGTAATAATACCAGGACTTGTCACTGTTATTTTACAAATTAAAATTAAAAGGTTACGGATATTAATGGAAAAACGTTTATTCATTCACCACATCGGATATGATCTCCCTGGATTTAGGTAAAATGAGGATTTTGTGAAAGTGCCTTATTCCTCACTTTTCAGAAATGATAAACTTCAAATTCCATTTTGTTAGAAACTGTTAGTTCTTCTACTGTTTTTGGGTGAGCAAGCAACAGGGGCAACTTTTCCGGTAAGTGAATAAATATGTTTTCATTAGGGCCCTGATATTTTTAATACCGAACTGTATGAAAACATTGGCTCTATATTCCTTGCCAAAATAATAAAAGCTGACCATTAATCTCATCGTTAATTTATACTATATGAAATAGTGAGGAGTTTTCCCCAAGGACCAAAAAAGAAAACAAAATTCTGTTCTCGAGTCTTGAATATTGACCATACACCAAATATAAATAAATTCATTCAATTTTTTTTAGTGGTCACTTTTACTCTGCCATTACAGTACGAGGTCTGTTCAGAAAATAATCGAACTTTTAGATTTTATTCCTTCAAAGTACTACCCTCTCCCATTCACACACTTCTTCCAGCGGTATTTCCATTTCTTCTTCTTGATAACTTAATTTGAAATAGCCTTTAAAGTTTGTGACGAATTTGCTTTGATGTCATCAATAGTCTAAAAAGGGGTCTTTTCAGCACTGATTTTAATTTGGGAAATAAAAAAAATGCAAGGAGCTGGTGAGTAAAGAGGGTGAGGTAGGACAGTATTCTGATTTTTGACGAACTGACAAAGATGAGTGTGTCTGGTCTTGCTTTGCCTTGCTACACACATGGTTCACTGTTTCACTTTGAGACAAGAATTAAAAATGCACAATTCCATTAAATTAAAAAAAAATCACTTTGACATTGGATCGAGACTGCCGTCCACACGATTTTCTTTCTGTGCTACAAATTTTTGACTTTCTGAACATGGGAGTTATCAGTTCAAGCCTTTCTGGTCGAGTTTCATCTTCAACTAAATAACGATCACTTTTAAATCCTGAAAACCATTCGTAATATTGCGTATGACCCAGAGCATCATCTCTGTAAGCTTGTTTCAAAGGTTGGAACGTATCCGAGAAAGTTTTCCCCAGATTCAATCAAAATTTTTAATTCAGAACTAACACTCAAACACGTTGCACTCAAATAACAATATCGTGAGAACTAAATGAGATATCTCCATTAGAGCGTAATTCAAAAAGTTCGGTTATTTTCTAAACATACTTAGTATGCCCTGAAAGAATCTGTATAGCGTTTATTTGACTTACAGTAACGGAATTATTGATCAATTTGGAAGCTGGAGTATTTTGCAACAACTTGAGTAATTCCTCTGGTTCGAAAGAATCGAAATTTGGGTCCAGACTTCGTCCCAATTCGAAGGCGTAAAACCTAGCGTAATCTTGACGTGTCCATCTTGCTATCGCAGTACCACTTTGCAAAATGGCGGCTCTGAAGAGTCCTTAAAGATATTATTTATGATGTCTACTATTAAAGTGCCGAAAATATTTCTTACCTCTGTTTTTTGGGCTTATTAAATGTAGTCCCACAGCTGCTGCTCCGGAACTCTCGCCCGAAATTGTTATTTTTTCAGGGTCTCCACCGAACAAATGAATGTTCTTCTTGACCCATTTTAAGGCAAAATGTTGATCTTTCATCCCCAAATTTGCTGGTATGACCCCATCTCCAGTGGTAAGGAATCCTTAAAAAATGTACCAGAATGAAACTATCTCAGAAATACCGTACGTTGTACATATAGATACGAATGCATTGTACGTACTCTGGATCATTGGTTACATATGTCAGATAGGTTAATGTAATTGAATGTAAATTTATTTTATATATGTCCCAAAATTCACATATTCAGATTTGAATTTTGCCTAATTTGTGCGGTAAAGTGATGCTAAAGAAAAACAAGACAGTGACATCTTACAGTTCAGAGTTATTAAAAATGGAGCGCTATATGAAGGAACGCTATACGTTGTTCATTCAAAATATGGTCGGAATAGTTATTTAATTTCATTAACTGTGAAGAGATTAATTGAAAAATCCAGGGAGACAGGATCAATTAGTGATCTTAAACATTCTGGTCGTCCTTCAACACGTTCAGTACAAAACATAGAAGCAGTTCGTGAGAGTGTTGCTAACAGGAAAATTGATTCGTCACCGTGGTCGAGAATTGAACATTTCGAGAAGCTCCCTAAAGCATATTCTCACGGAAAATTTTGCATCTTCATGCTTATAGAGTTAATTAATTCAAGAACTGAAGCCTATTGACCACGCAGAGCGAAGAGAGTTCGTTGAATCGATTATGGAACAATAAATGGATGCTGATTTTTCAAACAAAATCATCTTCAGCGATGAGGCTGATTTTCATTTTGATGGCTTCGTTAATCAACAAATTTGTCGCATTTGGGGTTCAGAAAATCCACTAGTGATTGTTGAGAAACGAATGCTTCCACAACGTGTCACAGTCTTGCGAAGATTTTGGGCTAGAGGACCATTCTTCAAAAATCGCGACATAGTAATCCAGTTTTCTTGTGCATAAATTGTAAGATGTCATGTGGTTTCAACAAGACGGTGCCACATGCCATACAGTCCTAGAAACAATTGAATTACTTCATGAGTTATTTCCTGGTCGTGTAATTTCCCGTTTTGTTGGTCAAATTTGGCCATCCAGATCATGTGATTTAACGAAGTTGGACTTTTTTTAGGATTTTTGGAAGTCTAAGATTTATGCCAGCAAGCCTACGGTCTGCCACGCCTTGAAGGAAGAAATTGAGCGCTGTATCAACGAAATTGAGCTGCATTCATGCAAAACGCTAATGGAAAATTTCGACAAGATATGCCATTCCATACATAACCCTATACTGTATGAAAAAACTGAAAAATCTACGATTTTTAATTAAAAATAACCATGTTATTTTACACATCTCTGCTTGGTCTACTGTGATTTTGTTTTCAATTATTAAAATGTGAATGAGTGCAAAATTGTCAATAAAATGATGGACTGTAATATTCTTAAATTGATATTGGGATTTCATAATGTATACAGGGTGTGCCATTTAACACTCCCGCTGCCAATATCTCCGAAATGAAGAAATTTATTTTAGTTTCGGAAATTGGGGTTGTTAGATCACCCGAATAGCTTCAAATTGCAGTTGGAATTATTAGTTCAAATCTTTCTGTACAGATGGCGTGGCGTTACTAAAAAACTTTTTGTTCCACGGAACGTAAAAACACAGTCCATCTGAAAGATAGTTAGATTTTGAGTAATTTTTGTAATATAAACTTTTTCCTTACATTTACTTGTTTTCGAGATATATCGACTTCAATATGCAATGCAGGATATAACAGGAAAATCTATTACTTTATCTAAATCACACCGAGGCAATATATTCTTTTAAAATATTGTTATAATGACTTTATTCACATCACATACTAACTAACAAACAATAAATTATAATAAAACAAATGATCAACTACAGAAAAAAAAATGTACAATGGTAAATCGTATAACTAGTATAGTTAAACTGAAAGACGCAAACTGATAAAACTGTAATTATTGGAAAACTAATATGTGTCATCTGTCAAAGTTTTATTTTAAACAAATGACATGAGCCACCTATGACTGCATTTTTTAATAACATTCGATAAAATACGGTTACTCTGCCCCTTATAAGATTTACCATTGTACTTTTTTTTCTGTAGTTGATCATTCGTTATTTTTATAATTTATTGTTTGTTAGTTAGTATGCGATGTGAATAAAGTCATTATAACAATATTTTAAAAGAATATTTTGTTCAGTGTGATTTAAATAAAATAATAGGTTTAACTGTAATACGAGTATCATCCATTGCATATTATTGAAGTTCACATATCTCGAAAATGAGTAAATGTAGGGAAAAACTGTATATTACAAAAATTACTCAAAATTTAACGATCTTTCAGATGGACTGTATTTCCACGTTCCAGGGAACAAAAAATTTTTTAGTAGCGCCACGCCATCTCTACAGAAAGATTTGAACTAACAATTCTAACTACAGTTTGAAGCTATTCGAGTGATCTAACAACCACAATTTTCGAAACTAAAATAAATTTTTTCATTTCGGAGATATTGGCAGCGGGAGTGTTAAATGGCACAACCTGTAAATACATTTTTATAGAAGCTGGTACAGAGCAATTTCGTCTGTAGTACAACGTTGTGTTATTAAATAAAAAATTAACAAAAAAGTATCAGGCTTAAGATATGCAAGTTTGAGGATCTTATAGTTTCGAAATATGTACGTTCTTATGATTAAAAAAAATATATTTGATTTTCATTAGTTTTTTACTTACTTTTATAATTTATAGAAAAAAATAAAATTCACTGAAACAATATGACACTGTTGATAGATTTACTAATGTAAAATTATTCCAAAAATTAGAAATTTATTTGTTAAAAAAATTGGAATAAAAAAAGATAAAAAGTGTCAGCAGTCTTTTAAAAATATGTCTTGGTTGCGAGCAATTCTTGTACCAATGCAAATTGGATTTAAAATGAATAGAATAAAATTAATAATAAATATAAGAAAAGCAAATACCTAAAACAGACAGTCGGTAGTTCATTGTGACGACAACGATGTTGTGTTCCACATAGAATTGCGGTTTGTATTCTTGAACTACACCAGACCCATCTTCAAATCCACCCCCATGTATCCATACTATTACCCCTAATGGAGTTTTTGACGAATCTCCTGGTTTCTGGAATCAAATATTAGTAAATCTGAATAAACTGAACTATCCCATTTTTTCAATTTTTTAAAGGATTTTTTTCATTAGAATTTTCGACATAGAGAAAAAGTTTTAGACATTTCTGGTTTATGATATTTTAATAATATAATTTATTGGTTATTTTAAATAAACGATCATTTCTTAATGCAACCAGTCTTACCAAAGGAGTGAAAACATTCAGGTATAAACAGTCCTCAGTTTGCGTTGTATTTGCAATCTCGTAAGAATTTATTTTGTAACAAATTTTTGTGTTTTTCGTAGTATCCAATACTCCAGTCCATTTCTGGTGCTTCTTGGGTGGCTAAAATAAAGGCTGAATATTACTGAAAATAAAACTAATACGCATCCAATTACCTTAAATCTTAATTCACCGACAGGTGGCGCTGCATATGGGATTTGTTGAAACCCATAATAAACGATGCCTTTCGGGGAGAGTAACTCTTGACCCTTTATTTGGCCCTCTGGTAAAGTAACGAGTGTGGGATCGCTTACCTGAGGACAAAATTATGTATATTGCGTTGCTCTGTGTTTTGCAACTGTTATTTTTGGAGAAATAAAATGGACTTATGTCGAAATAAACAAAATTTCTTTTTGTAAATGTAACATATTTATTCCTAGTTGTTTCCAAGGTACAGCAAGTTAAAGATTATTCCTTTGTCATTCTTATAACTTTTGAAAATTCAGTGCAGTTGGTTTCAAATTGGTAAATAGTAGTAAACAAGTGTGACAAGAATAAAACTACAATTGCAATGTTTAACTCAATCTGCAATTTTGGTTGAGGTGAACTCAGGGCTACAAGTTCTATAGAGGCCTCTAGAAAACTCTTGCAATCAGCGACATACCTATATGACAAAGATGATAATATTCGATCTTTTTTTTCTGGGGTGGGCCGTGCGCACCCCTGACCCCCCTAGCTACGCCCATGTTGGGAAGAATGAATAAATCTTTGAAATTGGCATTGCTGTGTGATGGTACACGCCCTTAAAAAAGCGTAGAAACCTAGAGCCGCCATTTAAGAAAATCACTGATGATGTCATTTCTCCTAGAAGACACACCCTGTACCATTGTCTGAGGAGGGGAAACGTTCGGCTTTAGAAAACATATGAACTAGAATGATCATCAGGGCAGGTCTAATATTATGATAGTGGATACGCCCCCGCAGATGCTAGCCCGAGGGCAACAAGGGGAGGTTAAAAAGATCAAAACGGACTGTAAAAGCTGTGAAACCATTGTTTATGGCACACTCAAAGAGACAGACCTGTGAAACCTTATATTACTCTAATAAAAAAGTGTTTCATCCAACTACGTGCACATCTACAGCGTATTAACGAGAGAAAAAAAAACAAATATCGGCTTATTCGACATATTTGTGATATTCTTTTGTTTGACTTGATACGAAATACTGTCGCTTTAGAAAAATTCATATCTCTTTACGTTTTTTTTCTCTAAGTTGGGTGCTAAATGTAAGAAATCACACTGTACAAAATAATATAACCATCTAAGCCACTAAATAAGGGCAAGTTACTAGTGTTTGTTAAGTTATTAAGAATAAATAATTTTCAAACCAAAAATATTACACGCCGCCAATGTAAGTTGGTCGAAGGTCACTAAATATTATAAATGAGTTCTTTGTCAATAACAGCCACAACAGTTTCTGTCAACACGTTATCCGGTGTTAACCACAAATAAAACGTTTCTATTGCGCAATATTAAACAAATAAATCCGTTTTGTCCCAAATTTGATTAGAGTTTGATTTGTTTTTGTTTATTTTATAATTTAAAATACTTACATGTGCTATAGATAAACATATTTCACATAAAATGAATATAATAACATTTCTACAGTTCATCTTGATTCATAATAACAGTAAACAACAAGCTCTTCCCTCTATATATACCTACCTACATAAGAAACTGCTATGGGAAATTCCTTAAAAAAGATTGGTTTATTATTATCTGTTTCTATGAGTAGCGGTACGCAGAACGTTTCGTCGGAACTTAATTTATTAATTTATAACATTTTTTTAACCGATAAATAATATATCGAAGACCTTATGCTAAAATGGTTGCAATTTATGATATGGCGAGTAATTATGATATGGCGAGTAATTATGATATGGCGAATATATTCAATTATGGTAATTGACGTATTTCACACTAATAATGCCTTCATATCTATGACTGATACAATGAAACGAATGTTAGCTGAGGCCATGCAAAGTTCTGGATAACTGTTTCTGTATTGAGTACCTACGATGTACCTACTACTACACTAAACAGTTAATAGACAATATATTAATAAAGCTATTACTTTTAAGAGGTTGGGTTTTCATAATACGAGTAATTATATCTTATGTGTACAATAATGTTTTTGGAAGTCATTAGTGAGTCGTCGTTTCCAAGCGGTTTTGCTTGGCTAATCAGTGTTTATTAATTCGTGTTTCCCCATTTGTTTTGGTGATAAGTAAATAGACACGATAACCTAATAAGGTGTTTGAAATGTTTTTAAAAACAGTTGTGGTTTACTTATAGACGATGTGAATTTGAGATAAGAAGCTTCCGTATAAACACAGGCTCGAATTGGTTTAATAAATTTTACAAATTTAACTGAATCATTGTCAATCTTTCACCTTCTTAGTTTTTTTCATGGAATCCTTACGGTTAATAATTCAAAATTGGCAAAGTTAGCTGCATTATTGGTAGGTGAAATTGTTGAGAAGTTGATGATGAATGCTGATGATGAAACAATGTCAAGACACACAAAAATTGCTCCTCAGACTCTTCTAATTATGACGTATGGCGCTAATTTTTCTTCAACTAAATGAAAGTATCTAGATACTATGAGGAAATTGCACTGTACTAGATTTGAAGATTTCTACAGTGGTTACTTGATCAAAAATTATATTTCACTACCAATGTTTGTACGATCATAGAACTCTTTACAATCCTTGCTCTCTGCTACTTTTATTTTTTTTATATTTGTTTTGACGAAAGGAATTTATTTGTTGCAACGTTATTTACATCCAATATTCTCAAAATGAAAACAACTATGAATACAATAAAAGAATCTGTTAAGTGAGACCTGATGGACTATTTTTAACCTATCTTTCCGTTTAGAATTATTTAGAGTGAGAAATTTTGTGGCTGGGGAATGGAAATAACGTCTCAGGTTGGTGTAAAAATGCATTTGATCGAATTTTAAGCTGCTATCTTTTAACGTAAAGACATAATCATAAAACAATCCTGAAATTTATTAATATCTTGAAAATACAGTTTAATAATTGTCTACGCACCAACCATACAAAATATTAAATAGGTATATTAAACACTATATTATTTTCATTTCACATTTGTAATATGTGTTGCATAATGTATCACATACGGGGTGTCCTGGTACTTGATATAAAAAATTCGAGTATAGATGAGGTCAAAATAATATCAGTTATTCATATATTTTTTTTCCATACGGGCCTTCGTTAATAAGTTGTGGGCCCTCAAAGTTGAAAATTAAAATCTTATTTTTATTTACAGTCTCTAAACTATTAACTGACACATGATACATGATACAAATTTGGTGATCCATAATACATGCGTACAGCTTGTTTTTGATGTAGTAAGTGAAACTTCATTGTGCCCAGAACGCCAAGGACGGACTATGCCCAATGGTTAACAACACAGAAATTTTGCATAGATGACGATCGCCATCTGCCAGTATCAAAAATAAGGTTACCAAACAAAGTTTTCAATGTATATGCAAGATGATGTGATTACATCTAATAAGTCTATAATTTTGTGTATATACTAATGCCTAATATACATTGTATGCTAAGCTTATTACTATGGGATATTTTTTTAAGTTTTAAATGAAAACCGTTAGATAAACCTAAAATATTCTACATTTAGCGTCTTTAAAAGTCTGCACTGTGTCACCCATCTAAGTTAGAAATCATCGCACCGATTTAATAGTCATACACTCTTTAGTTATTTGCAACTCAGAAAATTGATCTTTATGCGAACATTTCAAAATCACCATTCTAATAATAATAAATTTATTTATTACAAAGTTCAAACAAACAAACAATTTTGTATTAAACAAACGATACATTAATATACAATAATATAATAAATAAACAAAGGAGCTGCAAAGGCAAGCCTGTGCGCAGCTTCTCGTGTTACATATTAGGGCAAAATATAAGGCAAAGTAAAAGTGCTTGAAACAGATGCGAATACAATTTAAAACGAAAAAAATAGCAAAATAACATAGTTTCCACAAAAAACAAATTAATTAACATGAATTTTTTGAGTTATTATTTCTTCAACTCAAATTCAATCGGTAGTTTTAATTATTTTTAATGTCTATATATCAATTATACTTCTACCACAATTTAATATAAATTCCTTTACTTTATTTTTAAGTATATTTTTGTTTTTAGAATCACGAACATCACATGGTAATAAATTATACAATCTAGGAGCAAGAAAGTCATTGTCTAATTGTTTTTAGAGCTTGTGGAATAACGGTTACCAGCCTGCTCCTTGTAGAATAAGGATGTTTTATATGTCTCAATGTGTTTTTATTTTTATGTTGATGTACGACAACCTTTAAGAAGTAAGTTTGTCTTGGATCAAATACCTTTGCCTCCCTATACAATTCAGCACTAGGATACTTATAGTCTTTTCCTAGTATTATTTTCAAAAATATTTTTTGTAAAATTTCAATTTTTTTTATATATGTCTTAACTACTCCACCCCAACTCAAAATTCCGTAAAACATTCTAGACTCAATTAAGGAGTAGTAAATAGATTTCATATAAGGGAAGTCAAGTATTTTTTTTACATATTTAAATTTGTATATTAAAGTTCGAACTGTTTTTATGGTTTGATTTATGTGGAAGTCCCATCCTAAATGTTGATCAATAAGCACACCGAGATATTTTAAATTTTCGCAACTATTAATATACAATATTGTCCCATTGTCTACAATATTAAGTTTAGTATAATTCGGCAATCCGTTCTTGTAAGAACTGAATGGGATAAACTTTGTTTTTTCAAAATTCATAGTTAGTAGTTTATGAATAAAATAATTAATTATAGATGACATATCTGTTTCTATTTTAGTTTTAAGAATATTCCAGTCAGTGTCCTCATAAAATATACAGGTGACGTCGGCGAAACTTATGATCGTACCGAGTGTAATTTGAGTAAATAAATTGTTTAAATATACTCAAAACAATATTGGGCCAAGAACAGTTCCTTGGGGTACTCCATATTCCACCTCTCTTATGTCACTGAATTCATTATTAAGTTTGGTGAACTGTGTACGACCAGTGAGGTAACTTGCAAATAGCGAAAATGCAGGGCCGCGAAATCCTAAACCCTGCGAAGTCTGTAGCAACTGTTTGTGACAAACAGTGTCGAAAGCCTTCGCAAGGTCAAGGAATATACACAACCACGGTTTATGATTATCTACTCTATTATAAATTTTTGATGTTGGTGCACAAATCGCATCTTCAGTGGATCTGCCCTCTCTGAATCCAAATTGGTTGGGCGACAGTAAATTATACTTTGTTAAATAATTTACCATTCTAGTTTTAATAATATTTACAAATACTTTTGCCAAATTAGTTATTAACGATATTGGCCTATAGTTTGATGTTAATAGTTACCTCCATTTTTGTAAATTGGTTTTATTATTATTTTTTTTAATTCAGTGGGACAAATTCCAACCTCAAAGGACGTGTTTATTAATTCAGCCAGAGGTTCCCCAATTTCTTGACATATTTCTTTCAATGTTTCTGCTCGTAGTGTGTCGATACCTGGCAATATATTTGTTTTTAAAGACTTCATAACATTAATTACTTCACACCAAGGACATTTAAATAAAGGGGACTTATTTATTTACATTTCTAGATGAAGCCTGGTCTATTCACAGTCTAATTGTATCATTGTTGTCAGCTGTATAATTATACTGGAAATGTACTTAATATTTTTATCGCAATTTTCATCACAATTGTGAAAATTATTATTATAGGATAGTATTATTAAGTTATGCATACAATATTGTTAAATTCTGTACATATTAAACTATTTTTCATTTTTCATATTTGCCATGTTTGAAGACTTGGCAACTACGCAATAATTTGTAGCGTGTTCCTCGTTCGTTCTGCCGTGGTTGGCAGAATAAACGAGGAACAC